CTTGCAGTGAGCCGAGATCACGCCACTGCACTCCAGCCTGGGCGACAGAGTGAGATCCGTCTAAGAAAAAAAAAAAGGTAAGAAAACTTCTGTTGGCCCTAACATGGTGATCAAGTCAATCCACAGTTGTAGGCTCTCTCCAGAGATGTAAGTTTATTCTATTCTTTAATATGCTGTCCTATCTGGAGAGATCCATTACATTTATTTTATTGCCTTAGCCCTACACTAAAGTAAATTGCCTTGGGTTTCCTAATTAACTTAATGCTTAAGATGGTTTGTTTTTTGCTAAATCACCAAAAGGATTAAGTGAAAAATTGTGATGAGGATGAGGATGAATGCATTATAGTATAGTACACAAAGTGTGTAGTATAATCATGGGCACGTCGGAGATCTTTTTAGATGTGTGTCTCTATCTCAGTAACTTAATTTCCTTTCGAGCAGATGGCTGTTAAATAGTTTGATTTATTGTGTTCATGATAAATATTATATACTTGAAAGCATTAGTATGGTTTTATTCCTCTGTTAAACTGAATGTCATTATGAATTTTAGGTAGCCCTGGTTTACCCCAACAATGATCCAGTCATGTTTATGGTGGCTTTTTATGGATGCCTCCTGGCAGAAGTGATTCCAGTGCCTATAGAGGTACCTCTTACCAGAAAGGTAACATTGCTAAATTTAAGAGGAATGTAGCCTGATGTGACATGGCAGGCATTGGGTTCTTGGATAGATGCAGTCACAACATTAAAAACTCTTCGACCATTTTTGGAAGTACTCAGCTTCACTTTCTAAAAACATGAAATTTGTAGAAAAAGTATTTATTAAATATTTACAAGTTTTATGCAAATAACATATTTTCAATTAAGATAGAATTTATATAGTATTGTATATCATTTAAAATACCACTGGGGTGAGGCTGGGCACAGTGGCTCATGCCTGTAATCCCAGCACTTTGGGAGGCTGTGGCGGGTGGATCATGGGGTCAGGAGATCGAGACCATCCTGGCTAACATAGTGAAACCCTGTCTCTACTAAAAATACAAAAAAATTAGTTGGGTGTGGTGGCAGGCGCCTGTGGTCCCAGCTACTCGGGAGGCTGAGGCAGGAGAATGGCGTGAACCCAGGAGGTGGAGCTTGCAGTGAGCTGAGATCACGCCATTGCACTCCAGCCTGGGCGACAGAGCAAGACTCCGTCTAAATAACAAACAAATGAGCAAACAAACAAACAAATAAATATCACTGGGGCGACTAGACATGGTGACTCACACCTGTAATCCTAGCACTTTGGGAGGTTGAGGTGGGCAGGTTGCTTGAGCCCAGGAGGTCGAGACCAGCCTGGGCAACATAGGGAGACCCCATCTCTACAAATAATAAAAAACTAGCCAGGCATGGCGGTGTGCACCTGTAGTCCCAGCTATTTGAGAAGCTGAGGTGAGAGGATTGATTGAACCCAAGAGATTGAGGCTGTAGTGACCTGTGATCACGCCACTGCACCCTAGCCTAGGCAACAGGGCAAGCAAGACTGTGTTTCAGATATAAAATAAAATATCATGGGGGCATACTTGACTTTCAACACTGATCATTTATAAAGAATCCCACTCTTGCTTCAGAGGCTATAGATAATCCACATTTATAGTAGTTGAGACCTTTTTGTAAAGAGATTTCCTCTAACTGTATCATATGACCTAGGATTTCCATTAGGTGGAAAGTGATGGTGTGATGACGTGTTACTTCTCTGGATTGTAAGATTTTACTTTGACAATACATCAGCCCAACTAAAATGAAGCATATGTAACAGATTTCCATGTTTGAGTGATTTCTCCATGAGCCACTTGATGCTAATTTTGTCATGCAGTTTATTTCTGAGGGCTGATGTCAAAGATGAATATAGTGGAGGATGTGGATTTATAAATAGAAATTGGCCAGGTGCGGTGGCTCACACCTGTAATCCCAACACTTTGGGAGGCCGAGGTGGGTGGATCACCTGAGGTCAGGAGTTTGAGACCAGCCTGGCCAACGTGGTGGAACCCCATCTCTACTAAAAATACAGAAATTATCCAGCTGTGATGGCACAAGCCTGTGATCCCAGCTACTCAGGAGGCTGAGGCCGGAGAATCGCTTGAACCTGGGAGGCGGAGTTTGCAGTGAGTCGAGATTGTGCCACTGTACACCAGCCTGACAAAGCAAGATCTTGTCTCAAAAAAATAAAAGAAGAAATCAGCCAGGCCGCGGTAGCTTTTGCCTGTAATCCTAGCACTTTGGGTGGCCGAGGCGGGTGGATCACTTGAGGTCAGGAGTTCAAAACCAGCCTGGCCAACATGATGAAACCCCATCTCTACTAAAAATACAAAAATTAGCCAGGCATGGTGGTGCACTTCTATAGTCCCAGCTACTTGGGAGGTTGAAACAGGAGAATAGCCTGAACCCAGGAGGTGGAGGTTGTAGTGAGCCGAGATTATGCCACTGCACTCCAGCTTCTTGGGTGATAGAGAGGGGCTCCATCTCAAAAAAAAAAAAAAGAAAAGAAAGAAAAGAAAAAGCATTTCTGAAAGGAATAAAAAACAAATTGATAACATCCCCAGAACTATAGTTGTTGGGATGTAGTATCCTTAATTTGATCAGGAAATCATATGGTTGTTCTTAAATTATTAAGTTGGCAGAATTTGTGTGGTTTCATAATGATACTTGTAAGACGATATTTTAATGGAAATGCTTTAGACTATATCTTTTGTTGTTTTTGCTGCTGTTGTGTAAGGCTTAAATCTATCCCCTTTAATACAGAAAAACAAAAGGAGTATACGGATTTGGTATATCCATCCATTAACTTTCATTGTCAGCTTGGACATTTAGTATCTGTTTACATTATTTTGTTCATACCTGACTTGCTTCTCTCTTGAATTTTGGGGTGAGGCTAGGGGAAGATAGCCATGTTAGCATTTATTTAATTTGCTGGAAACTAAAAGAGGATCGTTGCTGATTCTTTAATAAAATGGTTACATTTGTCTGATAAGATGTATCATTAGTAATGTCTGGTTAATACTTGATTTGTGCTCAGGAAATGTTTGTATTGTAGAAATTATTTGGAAGAACACATTGTCATTGGATTTTGACAATTGCCAGATATTGGTGGGGCTCCATGAATGTTATCACACACACAAAGTGCCAGAGCATTACTAAGTGTAAGATGTGGGCATGAGTGTACTCACATTTGCTTCCCTACCTATGTTCATTATCATTTCTCCACAGGATGCTGGAGGTCAGCAGATTGGCTTCTTGCTAGGAAGCTGTGGTATTGCCTTAGCTCTTACCAGTGAAGTTTGTCTAAAAGGACTGCCAAAAACCCAGAATGGAGAAATTGTACAGTTTAAAGGTTAGTAATATTGTACCTGAATTATCAGTTAAAAGTTAAAACTGAGTGCTTTAATTAGCTTTTTAATTTAGTAATAGCTAGGTACTTTACATACAGGTTCTATTTAGTTCTCATGTTCTTATGAAGTAGGTACCACTATTATCCCCATTTTACAAGTAGGAAACTGAGAAACAGAGAGGTTAAATAACTTGCCCAAAGTCACAGCTAATAAATGACAGAGCAGCAATTTGAACCCAAATCTGTCTGATTCCACAGCCCACACCCTTAACCTTTATGCCGGTGGTTGAAAAAAGCTACCACTCTGTACATTAAAGCTAAATGCTACATGTAGAGACAGAGGATAGACCACTAACCTCAGTGGACTTCCACTGCCAAATGGACCTCCCAGTTGTTGAGGTAATGTCAAGGCCTGGAATTAGCATGTGGAACGATTGTACTTTTGAAAGAAGGTATAATTGTCTGGTGATTTCCCACTAAAAACTAATAAAAACTAAGTATGTTATTGATTATAAAATGATCTTAATTTGGTCTCTTGATATTTAAAATGATCAGTTCAGTGTGAATTCCTTCCCTGATGGCTTAGGTAATTCAGTTTTCACTTTGGGTTTGATTTAGGTTGGCCCCGGCTCAAATGGGTTGTAACAGATTCCAAGTACCTTTCAAAGCCCCCGAAAGACTGGCAGCCACACATCTCACCTGCTGGGACAGAACCGGCGTACATTGAGGTGAGTCCTAAGATGTAAAATACGCTTTCAGGCTTTTCCTTTGGCTTCACTTGCTGCCTTTCAAAATATAAAACTAAATTTTTGCAATGTTAATGTTAGAAGATCCTCCTGCTTTGTGAGATTTCCATCTTTTGGCTTGTAAAGTGCCTTGTAGTAGATCTTCTATCTTAATTATTTTGATCATAAATACACATTCAAGAAAATGACAGCAAAAAAAAATGATTCTTCATGTAAGAAAGTTACGAAAGACTTTAGGGAAGTACAGACGTTTAGGAAATGATGTACTGGCAGAGAAATTTCTCTGCTGCTTATTTAGAGAGGTTGGGGATAAGAGAACGGAGAAATGAGAAGGGAAAATAGCTCTGCTTAAAAGAACAGATTAGTAGATGAAAGATAAAGAGCAAGAAGAAACAAATGGCTGGAAGGTTTGATATTGAGGTTGGTGTAGGAATGCAGTTGGCAACATGATCCATTGAAGGATTAAGCAAATCCAAGTGCACACCAGGTACCAGACTGAATGCTTTAAGTGCATTTTCTCATTTAGTCCTCACAAGTACCCTATGAGGTTTGGATTATTATTAAACTTGCTTTATAGATGAGGAGACTAAGACTTAAAAGAACTTCAGTAGCTGACCAAAGGCCACATGACTCAAAAATGGCAGAGGTAGACTCAACAGTCAGGTCTAACTCTAAAAGCTGTAGCCTTCACCACTCTGCATCCTGCCTGAGACATACGCTCACCAATTGTTAAGTTAATGAACAGGCAAATCAATAAATTTGTTTTTCAAGATTTGGGGGAAAATCATCTAACGTTGAACACTGTGATGATACCAAGTAGAGAGAACTTAAATAATTTTGGCTATAGAAAAGAGAGGCTGGGAGAATGAGTTCATGCCCTTTGCAGGGACATAGATGAAGCTGGAAGCCATCATTCTCAGCAAACTAACACAGGAACAGAAAACCAAACACCGCATGTTCTCACTCATAAGTGGGAGTTGAACAATAGGAACACATGGACGCAGGGAAGGGAACATCACACACTGGGACTTGTCAAGGGGTGGGGGGCAAAGGGAGGGAGATTATTAGGACAAATACCTAATGCATGCGGGTCTTAAAACCTAGACGACGAGTTGATAGGTGCAGCAAATCACCATGGCACACATACCTATGTAACTTACCTACACGTTCTGCACATGTATCCCAGAACTTAAAGTAAAATTTAAAAAAACAAAAAAAAAGTAGAAAAGAGAGGCTGGGACGAGACACAGTGGTTCACGCCTGTAATCCTGGCACTTTTGGAGGCTGAAGTGGGTGCTCCTGAGGTTGGGAGTTCGAGACCATACTGGCCAACATAGTGAAACTCTGTCTCTACTAAAAATAAAAACAATTACCTGGGCATGATGGCGCAAGTCTATAGTCCCAGCTCGTTGGGAGACTGAGGCGGGAGGATCACTTGAACCCAGGATGCGGAGGTTGCAGTGAGCTGAGATCACACCACTGAACTAGAGAGACTGGATGCAATGGTTCACATCTGTCTGTAATCCCAGCACTTTGGAAGGCCAAATAGGAGGACTGCAAAGGAAAGGAAGAGAGTGACCAGTAGCTCTGAGAGGTGATGGGATATTATTGGATGCAAGGATGATTGTTTTTAAAGATGGAAGAGATCTGAGTATCTTTAAAAGACAGACAGATAGGCCAGGTAAGATGGCTTATGCCTTTAATCTCAGTACTTTGGGAAGATGAGGCAGGTGGATTGCTTGAGGTCAGGAGTTCAAGACTAACCTGAGTAACATAGTAAGACCCTGTCTCTGCAAAAAGTAAAAAATTAGCTGGGACTGGTGGTATGCACCTGTAGTCCCAGCTACTCAGGAGTCTAAGATGGGAGGATCACTTGAGCCCAGGAGGTTGAGGCGACAGTGAGCTGTGTTCATGCCACTGCACCGTATCCTGGATGACACAGCATGATTCTGTCTCACAGAAAAAAAGACAAGCAATTAAAAATACCAAATTTAGTGATCAACTCTCAATCTATGTCATGTCTCAGTGATGACATGGTTCATCACTCGGTCCTCCTTAAAACTCCGGTCACTGGCTTCTTGGACTCCTCTCTCAGTTCCTCTGCCTCGTTAGCCATTCCTTCAGTCATCTTTATTGGCTCTTCCTAAAGGTGGAGGGTCCTTCATTGTATGGCTCTTGCTTAGCTCTCTGGCCTTATTAGAACTACTACCCTCTGTCTTTCTAGGTGCCTGTTATTTTGAATTAACTTGCAGTTTTTACTTGGGATCCTCCTATTGCCCAAAGGACTCTACTAGTGAGTTTAAAGCATCTCTGGGTAATAGGGAGTTATTAAAGGATTGTCAGCAGGAGAGTGACAACAATGAATTTATTATAAGAAGTTATATCTGGATTGGTTGGGTTAAGAAAGGAAATAAGGGCTGGGTGCAGTGGCTCTTCCCTATTATCCTAACACTTTGGGAGGCTTAGGCAGGCGGATCACTTGCGCTCAGGAGTTCAAGACCAGCCTGGGCAACATGGTGAAACTCTGTCTCTACAAAAAATGCAAAAATCACCCAGGTGTGGTGGCACATGCCTATAGTCCCAGCTACTTGGGAGGCTGAACCTGGGAGCTCAAGGCTGCAGTGAGCCATGATCATACCACTGCATTCCAGCCTGAGTGAGACTCTGTCTCAAAAAGAAAAAAAAGGAGACCAGCTTTACAGTTATTCAGGTGAGCTCAAGCTTATGGTAGAGAGCAGACAGCAAAGTAGATTGAGCTTCAGACTGTAAGGAAATAGAGCAGGCAGGGCTTAGTTGCTGATGCTGGAGAGGGAGAAGGCAAGACAGACTCCGGTTTCTCACTTAGGCAACTTGGATTGATGGCAGCATCCTTCCCGAAGATAGAAAATACAACAGGAAGAGTTTCCATGGGCAGGGACTGGGGTAAAGAAGGCAGTGATGGATATATGGGTTTCCCAGGATTACTAGACATTCCAGGGGATTAGTTGACTCTGTCAGTCTGGATGTCTCTGGAGGAGAGGCCTGGGTAGAGAACTCGCAGTTACTAGGAATGCAGTAACCTAATGGAACAAAGTGAAAAGAGATGAGGAAGGAGAGCAGAACTCTCAGGGAACAGCACATTGAAGAGATGGGCGGAAAACGTGGAGGAGCAATGGGAGAGAGACAGACACACAGAGACAGACTAGAAAAGAGGAGTATCAAAAAAGCCAAGGAAGGAGAAAACATCAAGAAGGAGAGTAGTCAAATTTTGCAGAAAGGTTCGATAAGGTATGCAAAATGTCCTTTCCATGTAACCATTAAAAAATTGGGGCTGGTCCCAAGGTAGTGAATTATCTCCATTGATTGTTCACTGTCAGGTACAGATCAAACTCCTGTTCTACTCTTTTTCCCCTTCTCACTATTGCCCTTGGCAAGAGTTAACTTTTTTTTAAAGTTGAGCTGGGCACAGTGGCATACGCCTATAGTTCCAGCTACTCAGGAGGCTGAGCTGGGAGGATTGCTTGAGCCCAGGAGTTCCAATCCAGCCTGGGCAACATGGTGAGACTCCATCTCTTAAAAGAAAGAAAGGAAGGAAAGTTGATAGTCCTGGTAAAAAGCAACTTGAATGGAACATTAAGGGTAAAAGCAAAATTATAGTTGAACGATTTGGAGGAGCAAATAGGCCATTCGTTTCTAGTTCTTCCTTACAAAATTGGGTGCTTCTAATACACAGAGACCGCGTCTTACATACCTTTCACTCTTCAGTGCTGTGCTTGACTTGTATTTATTTGATACTGTGTTTCTATTAATTTAGCTCCAATCACTTGTTTGTTTTAGCTTTTGAGCAACCACTTCACACTGATGACTATTAAATTTTGAAGTCTTTTACACACGTACTTTTGTTGAGCTTTGTCATCCTCCAATCCTATCTTTGTGTGATTTGAGTTTGGGACCCAAGTACATTGCCTTAAATATTCATATTAAACGTGTTAAATTCAGCCCATTATGATGGTTTTTCTGGCTTTCGTTTTTAGATTCTAGTTTGTCATTTGAAATAACCCATTTTATTGTGTTTCTTATGTTTCTGTTTTTGTTTTCTAGTATAAAACAAGCAAAGAAGGGAGTGTAATGGGAGTTACAGTGTCCCGGCTTGCAATGTTGTCTCACTGCCAAGCTCTGTCGCAGGCCTGCAATTATTCTGAAGGTCAGACCTCATCCCATGACTGCCTTCATTGTTACCTTCAGAGATATGTGACTGTGAGCACAATGCTCAGTGACTGGACCTCATTTAATGACCAAATTCAGAGTGAAGTGTCCCAAGACACATTCTTGGCTTGCTTTTGTTTTCTTCTTTCTCAAAAATATGCTATAGTTTAAAGGAACCAAAATTCTGGCAAACCAAAATGTAAAGCATAATTTCTAGAGTATAGCAATAGAAAACCCTAATTAAAATCATGTTTTTATTAGCTGTGGAATGTCAGGTATCTCCATCTTCCCCTGCCTGTGTAGTGGGCTACCAGCTATACATTTGGAGTCAAAGAAATTCAGCTACCAAAAAGCATAAATTAAAACACAAAAATGTATTCGATATTTTTGAACTTTAGATAGGTTAATACATATTGCAAAAACCACTATTTGCCTCAGAATGTTCTTTGCAATATTAATTTTTTTAGTGTTTTCCCTTTGTAAAATGAAACAGTAAATGGTCATGATGTATTTTTTAACCAGACAACAATGTTGTTCTATCATAATGGAAGCAATCAAAAAGCCCTTAAATAAGGATTGATTAGGTTATAATATATCCAGGCCAGGCATTGTGGCTCACGCCTGTAATCCCAACACTTCAGGAGGCCGAGGCGGATAGATCCCCTGAGGTCAAGAGTTCAAGACCAGCCTGGCCAACATGGTGAAACTCCATCTCTACTAAAAATAACAAAATGAGCCAGGTGTGGTGGCTTGTGCCTGTAGTCCCAGCTACTTGGGAGGCTGAGGCAGGAGAGTCACTTGCACCCTGGAGGCAGAGGTTGCAGTGTGCCGAAATCATGCCTCTGTACTCTAGCCTGGGTGACAGAGCAAGATTGTCTCAAAAAAAAAAAGAAAAAAAGAAAAAGGTAATAATACATTCATATAATGGCTGGGGCATTAAAATTTTTATTTTTGAATATTAAAGATATGGAGAAATTGTTTCAATATATCATTAAGTAGGAACAAGTTAGGTACCAAGTTTTGCATTACATATAGATACATATAGATATCTAACATATCTATCTATATGTAAATATGCCTAGAAGTATATGTGTGTGTATAGATAGAATGTTTAGAGATATATACGTATATACACCAACTTTTTTTTTTTTAGGAAGTATCTTTTAGGAAATTTAAATTATATTTGTCAAACTTCCAAAGTTTCTAAAATAAGCATGTATTCTCTACATAATTAGGAAAAAATACCTCTTGGAAGAAATGCCTGAGTCACAAGACGTTTCTAACTCCTTGTCTCTGTTGTAACCACATTACCCTATGAGCAGTCCTCTACCCTTTTTCAGGAGACCCTCAAAAAGCCCCTGAGAACTTAGTCATTTCTCTAAAAACATCAAATCAGTCTGGGCGCTGTGGCTCATGCCTGTAATCCCAGCACATTGGGAGGCCGAAGCAGGAGGATCACTTGAGGTCAGGAGTTCAAGACCAGCCTGACTAACATGGTGAAACTCCCTCTCTACTAAAAATACAAAATTAGCCATGCATGCTGGTGTATGCCTGTAATCCCAACTATTTGGGAGGCTAAGGCAGGAGAATTGCTCGAACCTGGGAGACAGAGATTGCAGTGAGCTGAGATCGCGTCACTGCACTCCAGCCTGGGTGACAGAGGCAAGACTCCATCTAAAAGAAAAAACAAACAAACAAACATCAAATCAGTTGTTTATGAGAGGCAAGTGACATGATTTTGCTACTTAACACTAAACATGATTTCTTTGTCTTCCTATTTTTTCTATTTTAGGGGAAACAATAGTAAATGTCTTAGACTTTAAGAAGGATGCTGGGCTGTGGCACGGCATGTTTGCGGTAAGCTACTCGGATTTAAGGCCCTTAGTATAAATTGTGTTGAGATAAGGCCAGCATGCTGTGTAACTGGAGCATCTCTCAGTGCTTGTTTGAAATTTAAGTCCCCTAAAGGTCAGTAATATTTTCCAGAGACTATATAACCTTTCCATTGGACAGAATGTTTTGAATGACTGCCATGCATAAGCTGCATGCTGCAACTGAAGAAAAGTAACAAGGTAGATGGGGTTTCTTCCCATCAGAGAGGAACAGGTAGCATACTATGGGTGTTAGACAAAAAAGGTGACTTCCTTCCAGGTCTGGGCTTCAAGGCAGTTTTTATGGAAGAAGTGACAGCTGAGTTGGACTTTGAAAAATAGGTAAGCTTTGGACATACAGAAATTTTTGTAAGGGGATATAGAGGTAGAGAGAGGGGACACTTCAAGTGGCAAAACTACCTTATATAACATGCCATATAGGTGGAGAGAGAAAAAAAATACAGGGTTACCTGAATTGTAAAGGACCTCAGAGAGCATCTAGTCCCACTTACTTGATACTGCAGGAGCTGGAAAAGCATGGGAAATGAATCATGAAGGAAGAGGAGGTGGATCCCTTTTCACCCAGAACCCTCGGAATCTTCGTTATGTTTCCTTTCTAGCTCTTTTCTGAAAGCTTTCCCATTTTCTTCTTTATCAGAAGTTAAAAATCCTTTTGAGGAGTTAAGAAGAATCTCTTCTCTGTGATACCAAGTGCAAGATAGGGACATGTGTGAAGAATTAGTTATAAACACCAGTCTTTTCCTGAAACCAAAAGTTTCTCACCAGAGCTAGAAACTTGGAGAGAGAAAATAGTGTCTTGCAGTGATATCTTGGTTTCTTTGGGCAAATTAGAGAGTGAGCAAAATGGCTAATCTAAATACGAAGGCTTGGTTATTCTACCAGGCTGGGTCTCTTTGGGGACAGGGTGTCAGGTATGCTTGAGTGGCAGGAGAGACCCTAAATTGCATGACCCCTCAACACCTTCAGCTTTATCTAGCAAAAAAAAAATTAACAGGTGTAGGCAGGACCTCCCGTAAGAAACAGGGACATTTTGATTTCTTGCTTTGTGATGCCCACCTACCCCTTTGTGGCATGTGGCAAGTACGAACATGATAAAAGCATTAAGTGGGTTGGAGGGCAGTTTGGCAGAGTCTGTTAACATTTTAAAAGCATATACTACAGCTGGGCACTGTGACTCAGGCCTGTAATCGGCAGCACTTTGGGAGTCTTAGGCAGGTGAATTACCTGAGGTCAGCAGTTCAAGACCAGCCTGGCCAACATGGTGAAATCCCGACTATACTAACAATACAAAAATTAACTGGATGTGGTGGTGCACGACTGTAATCCCTGCTACTCGGGAGGCTGTGCAGAAGAATTGTTTGAACCCAGGAGGTGGAGGTTGCAGTGAGCCGAGATCGCACCACTATACTCCAGCCTGGGCAACAGAGCAAGACTCTGTCTCAGATAAATAAATAAATAAATACATACATACATACATACATATGTACATACACCAGTCCCAGCTACCCTGGAAGCTGAGGCAAGAGAATCACTTGAGTTCAGGAATTGGAGGCCAACCTGGGCAACATAGTGAAAGCCCTGTCTCTCTCTCGCTCTCTCTCTCTTTTTTTAAAAAGCATATCCCATGTGACAGCAGTGCTACATATCCATATATGGAAATACTTGCATAAGCCCAGGGAAGGGAGTAGGAATGTGCTTCTTGAAACATTTTTTGTAGTAGCAAAAAATTGTCATTAATAGGGAAATGCCTAAATAATTGTGATGTAGCCAAACAATGGAATACTGTGCTGCAGTTCAAAAAGAATTATGTAGATCTCTTGTACTGATATGCGTAGATTTAGCTCTAAAACAATTTAAATGAAAAAAGCAAGTTACAGATATATATATAATATGATGCCTTTTATGTTTAAAAATACTTATATGTTTCTATGGGAACAAATGTCTATGAAAATGCATTGAAAAAAGATTGGAAGGGTATCTGTCAAATTTGTAACTGATTATCTCTGATGAGGAGAGGAGGGAACCAGGTTGGAGGGTAGGTGTTAAAGGAACTTCAATCTTATATTTAATATTTAAGATTGTTTTCAAAGAGCATGTATTTGAGTATTACTTGTATAATTAAAATTGCTAACAAAATATCAGCTCAATTTTAAAATACTAAGTATGTATTTTGTATTGATTACTTTTCTTATTTCTTTGTTTTTCAGAATGTAATGAATAAGATGCACACAATTAGCGTACCCTACTCTGTTATGAAAACCTGTCCTCTCTCTTGGGTCCAAAGAGTACATGCTCACAAAGGTAGTCACCCGCAGCATCTGAGCTTTAATTGTGTGACTGTTTGAATTAAGATTTCAGGGATTTCAGAGAATTTCAAATTGCCCTTGTTAGAAACATTTCTATGCCCCTGTCCCTTAACTGTAGAGTTCAGTTACTACAGAATTAGGTACCTTACCTATTCATCTCACTGTTGTCCTGTCTTAAGCATTGAGATGAATTTTTTCCAAATGCGAGCCTTGAATTAGATTTGAGTGTCTTGGTATTCACAATTTCCTTGGCTGGGATACTGTGACCTGCCTAGAGGGTCTCAGTGAACAGACAATTGTAGGTCCAGTCAGTTGTCTAAATGTGATAATTTCTGCCTCTGAGCTATTGGCACGATCTCTTTGAAACCTTTTTTATTTTCTCCAAGCAAATATCCTAATTCCCCAAATAAGTAAAAATGTCTTTATTATGGTATATTACATATGTACGAAATTTATTGTGTATGTTAACTTCATCCCTTTTGAATTTATAGCCAAGGTAGCTTTAGTAAAATGTCGGGACTTGCACTGGGCTATGATGGCACATCGGGACCAAAGAGACGTGAGCTTGAGTTCCCTCCGAATGTTAATTGTGACTGATGGAGCTAACCCCTGTGAGTATTTCTGCACTGTGGGTCTGGGAATATCCTGTGTTTTGATAGATTAGGGGTTTTTGCCCTGTACTAAGATGTAATTCACATACTGAAAAACTCACTCATTTAAGGTGTGTAATTCAGTGGTTTTGGTATATTCACGAGTTGTGCGACCATCATTACAATCTAAGTTTAGAACATTTCATCACCCAAAAAGAAACCACATACCCATTATCAATCACTCCCCATTTTTCCCCCTGCCCCCAGCCCTAGATGACTGCTAATCGATTGCCTGTCTCCCTAGATTTGCCTCTTCTGAACATTTCTTGTAAATGCAGTCATACAGTATGTGGTCTTTGTGATGGGCTTCTTTTAGCATGTTTTTCAACGTTCATCCATGTTGTAGTATCTGTCAGTACTTCTGCATTCCTTGTTACTACCAAGAAATCGTCCATTATATAGTTATACCACATTGTATTTACTCATTCATCTTTTGATGGATCTATAAGCTTTTAAACCATTCTTTTTGGCTCATTCATGTATAACCTCTTTCTGTCATGTAACTGGGTATTCCTGTGTTACCTGCTTTCCTCTACAAGCCCGCAAATCCTGATCCTTCACACAGTAGAATCAGGTAGAGCACTACGCTATTTGTCATAATGGACTTTTGTCCATAGTCACATTGATCATCATAGTCTAAAACACAGACATAGGCTTAACCTTAATATCATATAGAAGGTGGAGCTAAGCCAATATTAAATTGCACTGCCTATGACAGTTCCTCAGGAAGAGTTGCTAAATTATAAACTGGCTGCATGTTTCCTGCAGTGTTATCGCTACTGATTTGTCAGTCTCATAGGAGCACCCTTATTCCAAGGTGTAACTTTAAATAGTGTCAGTAACCTTTTAGGGACTGGATGAGCATTAATTTGTCCTTGAAATATATCAAACCATCTCACAGGAACAGTAAAATATTTGTGTGGAATTAACAATATACAATATGGGTTCTCATGAGAAATAAGTATGTCAGCTTTCTATTATTGTGGTTTTTTGTTGTGTTGTTTTTTTTTTTTTGAGACGGAGTCTAGCTGTTTCACCCAGGCTGGAGTGCAGTGGCGCAATCTTGGCTCACTGCAAGCTCCGCCTCCCGGGTTCACGCCATTCTCCTGCCTCAGCCTCCGAGTAGCTGGGACTACAGGCGCCCGCCACCACGCCCGGCTAGTTTTTTGTATTTTTAGTAGAGACGGGGTTTCACCATGTTAGCCAGGATGGTCTCGATCTCCTGACCTCGTGATCCACCCGCCTCGGCCTCCCAAAGTGCTGGGATTACAGGCTTCCGACCAGCTTTCTATTCTTTACTATTTTCCTGCAGTAATGAAAATCACAATTTCAGCTTTGGGTTGATCTGTTCCAACTCCTTAGGGTCCGTGTCATCCTGTGATGCCTTCCTGAGTCTGTTCCAAAGCCATGGACTGAAGCCTGAGGCCATCTGTCCGTGCGCCACGTCTGCTGAAGCCATGACTGTAGCAATCCGCAGGTACTGTTCAGGATGTCAGATGCTCTTGATGTATGTTACAACTTGGATGAAATGTACAGTATTTACCAGGAGATGACAAAGGGGTGTTAACTAATTTTCTGAGTAGTTTCAAGTGTCTCATTTTTCCCACTCTTGCTCAAAGTGTATGTAGTAAACTGAAAAATTTAATATTATTTTGTATTTGTGAATTAGCTCTTTTTCTGTACCATTTTGCTCTTCGGAATCTATAGCACCTTAGATTAGAAATAGACTGTTCCTGTTTGTAGCTTAAGTATGGATAGTGTATCTATAGTATACTCAAGACTATTATATATGTAAGTATCAGTGAATGTGTGTGTGTATATATAGATACACTTTTTTTTTTTAGATAGGGTCCCTCTTTGTCACCCAGGCTGGAGTGCAGTGGCATAATGATGACTCACTGCAGCCTCGACCTCCTGGGCTCAAACAGTCCTCCTGCCTCAACTTCCTGAGTAGCTAGGACTACAGGCGTGTACCCTCAAGCCTGGCTAATTTTTAAATTTTTTTGTAGAGATAGGTTCTTGTTATGTTGCCCAGGCTGGTCTCAAATTACTGGCTTTGAGCAGTCCTCCTTCCTTGGCCTTCCAAAGTGCTGGGGTTGCAAGCATGAGCCACCGAGCCTGGCCCAGTATGCAATACTTGATGATGATGATGATAATAAACCACCATGTTGCTGGTTTATGTGTTTACTACACTACACTTTTTTTAAATTTAAGTTTTTAGAGATGGGGTCTTCCTCTGTTATCCAGGCTGGAGCACAGTGACATGATCATAGTTCATTGTAGCCTCAACCTCCCAGACTCAGATGATTCTCCCACCTTAGCCTCCCAAGTAGCTGGGACTACAGGTGTGTGCCATCATACCCAGCTAATTTTTGTATTTTTTGTAGAAATGGGGTCCCACTATGTTGCCCAAGCTGGTCTTGAACTCCTGGCCTCAAGCAATCCTCCTGCCTCAGCGGTTGCTGGGATCACAGGTGTGAGACACCACACCCAGCTCTAATTTGGCATATTTTTGGGAGAGAAAATGGAGAATTTTTTTGGTATTGTAGCCAGAGGAAATTTATCTTCCTATGTATTTGTATTTTTCTCTTGATGTTATTTCATTCAGCAAACTTGATGGGTTTTTCTTTTCAGGCCTGGAGTTCCAGGAGCCCCTTTGCCAGGAAGAGCCATTCTCTCAATGAATGGATTGAGCTATGGGGTAATACGGGTCAATACCGAAGATAAAAATTCAGCACTGACAGTCCAGGATGTGGGGCATGTAATGCCTGGTGGTGAGTTGTGAGGAGCACCATTTGGTTTTTCATAAAGATTTGTCATCAGAGATAATAGAGCCTGATAAAATATAGAATCTCAAACCAGGACTCCTTAATTCAGTACTTAACTCATTTAATTTCTCAGAGCCTCTCTAATAGTTAAGTCATCATAATTATGCCGACCTTCCTGCAGCATTGTATGACTTACCAATTGTGAATGCTTCAGGTCCACTTCTTTACCTGGAAGGCCAAATACTAGAGATATTAAAGTTATCTGGTTTTCACTGTGATTGCCAAGCCATTGGGACTGACAGAAAATTAGAGCATACTGCTTCCATGAGTGTTTTGAGTTTGACCTGCCTAAGGGTAACACCTCATTCATCTAACCTGTTTATTTGGGCTTTGCATTCATCTTTAATATGTCGCTGTCTATACAAGCTTTACATTTCAAATATACTTATGTAGTTTCAGGTTTGTGTTTAGCATTCCTGTTTGGTATTTTTACTTAATGCCACTCAGTAAAGGCAAGACTTTCTTGGGTTCACAGGATGGAGTTGTTATTTTACAAAGGTTTTCTAGAATCTTTGTCCCTTAACCTGTGTTTTCTGTACGTTAGGGATGATGTGCATTGTGAAACCAGATGGACCTCCCCAGCTCTGCAAAACAGATGAAATTGGAGAAATCTGTGTTAGCTCCAGAACTGGAGGCATGATGTACTTTGGGCTTGCCGGTGTGACAAAAAATACATTTGAGGTACATGCTATTAACATTTCACAGGGAAAATGTTTGGTGAGGTCAGAATGTTACGAGGGCAGATCCCCTGGTTGATGGGACGTAGCATAACGTGGTTGAGAGTGTGTACTCTAGAGCTAGACTTGTCTAAGTTCAAATTCTGACTCTGCCAGTCACTAGGTGACCTTGAGTGAGTTGGTTAACCTCTCTGTGCCCCAATTTCCTTATCTTTAAAATGTGAGTAATAATTGTATCTATGTCATAGGATTGTTGTGAGCACTAATTGAGTTAATGTTTTATAAAGTGCTTAGAAAGAGCATCTGGCATATAGGAAGTGCTGTTGTGTATCTGTTAGATTTTTAAAAAGGGTAAGATGAGCTGGGCATGGTAGCTCATGCCTGTAATCCCAACACCTTTGGAGGTTGAAGTGGAAGGATTGCTGAGGCCAGGAGTTTGAGACCAGCCTGGGTAATGTAGCAAGATCCCATCTCTACCAAAAAATTTAAAAAATTAGCCAGGCATGGTGGTGCATGGCTGTGGTCCCAGCTACTCAAAAGGCTGATGCAGGAGGATCCCTTGAGCCCAGGAATTCAAGGCTGCAGTGAGCTATGATCATGCCACTGCATTCCAGCTTAGGGTACAGAGCAAGACCCTGTCTCAAAAACACACACATGCACACACACAAACACACAAAGAAAAACAACAAAATAAAAAAAAAAAGCGGTAAGAGGCCTTACAAAAATTCACTCTGGTGAATTTACCATGGTTTGAGCTTTGTAAATTCAAATTTAATTTCGAGAGTAAACTCCAATTTTGCTCAGTTACTAATTAAAAATGAAGACTGTCCTTTCACAGGAGTCAGATTGCTCATATTATTCAGTCTTTCAGTCAGACAAATATTTTTTGAGCACCTTTTATGTGTCTGGTAATGTTCCAGATGCTTGGGGTTCATCAGAAAACAAAACAAAGCTCCTTGTGGAGCTCATGTTCTTGTGGGGCCAGCACATTCTAGCTAAACTAGCACATGGTTTTCCAGCAGGCACTTCTGCATGCGAAGCCAGGTTGTAATGGAAACTGCCTAGTGAACCTGGAAGTCAGAACAGGGACAGTTAATTGTCTACATTTAATAATTGGAATTAACCTGTCTCAGGGTACATTTTAGGGACCAGAGAAATTCACCATGCCAGGCGTGGGCATTCATAAGCTCTTCAAGCATGTGTTTACTGCCAGTCTCTTGCTTTACTTTCCTAGGTGATTGATTTACCTCCCTTGAACATGTATATACATTTAACTAATTTAAATCTCACCCTATTTATCTCTGTCACCCAGGCTGGAATACAGTGGCTCAATCATAGCTCACTGCAGCCTTCAACTCCTGGCCTCAGATGATCCTCTCATCTTGACCTCCCAAAGTGCAAGGATTACAGGCATGAGCCATTGCGTCTGTAATTTTTCTTCATTGACTTTTCCTTACTAAAAACAAGAGTCTCAAGCAGTGTTTGAAGATACTGATAATATTTTATTTCATTGCCTTTCCTATGAGGCAATTCCCTAGCCAGAATTCTCAAGACTTAATACCAAACTGCTGGCCGGGCGCGGTGGCTCAAGCCTGTAATCCCAGCACTTTGGGAGGCCGAGACGGGCGGATCACGAGGTCGGGAGATCGAGACCATCCTGGCTAACACGGTGAAACCCCGTCTCTACTAAAAAAAAAATACAAAAATTAGCCGGGCGAGCTGGCGGGCGCCTGTAGTCCCAGCTACTTGGGAGGCTGAGGCAGGAGAATGGCGTGAACCCGGGAGGCGGAGCTTGCAGTGAGCTGAGATCCGGCCACTGCACTCCAGTCTGGGCGACAGAGCGAGACTCCGTCTCAACAACAACAACAACAACAACAACAACAAAAAAAAAAAAAAAAAAAAACCAAACTGCTAGGCCTATAGTGATGAAGAAAATTTGAAGTCTGCAGTGTAAATTTCATGATAGTGAAGTAGAATAAAAATCCTACCGGAAAGGACAAAACTAGTATCTGGGTTTTCCAAATTAAAGTTCCCAGTATTTTTCTTCCTGGTTTCTTGCATTTAAATCCTGAGAGAGTTTACCAATGTAGTTAACATTTCACTGGAGAAAAGATCTTGGTTTTGAATTTGTTTTGTGGTTTTAGGGGGTTTTTTTTTAGGTGCAGCCTCACTCTGTCACCCAGGCGGAGTGCAATGGCGCAATCTCGGCTCACTGCCACCTCTGCCTCCCGGGTTCAAGCAATTCTTCTGCCTCAGCCTCCTGAGTAGCTGGGATTACAGGTGCCTGCCACACCCCTGGCTAGTTTTTTTGTATCTTAAGTAGAGATGGGGTTTCACCATCTTGGCCAGGTTTGTCTTGAACTCCTGACTTCAGGTGATCCACCCTCCTCTGCCTCCCAAAGTGCTGGGATTACAGGTGTGAACCACCACACTGGGCCAAGATCTAGTATCGACTAGTCAGAAAATAAAAATATTTTATAAATAATGCTACCAGGGAGAAAAACTTTTGTGACATGTATGATAACAGAGAGTTGATTTTCCATCACTCCCATGTGCTAGCTATTTGAGGCAAGTGAAACTCGCTTCTTCATCTGTAAAATGGAAATACTAATGCTGTTTCTATAGGATTAATTTGAGGATTAACTGTAAAGCAAGTAAACCGTGCCTGGTACTGATAAGCATTTCATGATGTTATAATTATTATTTTCTATAAAAAATAAATCTTAAAAATTATCCAGATGAGGCTGGGAGCAGTTGCTCATACCTGTGATCCTAGCACTTCGAGAGTCTGAGGTGGGTGGATCACCTGAGGTGAAGAGTTCAAGACCGGCTGGGTGTGGTGGCTCATGCCTATAATCCCAGCACTTTGGGAGGCTGGGGCAGGCAGGTCACGAGGTCAGGAGATCGAGACCATCCTGGCTAACATGGTGAAACCCCATCTCTACTAAAAATTCAAAAAATTAGCTGGGTGTGGTGGTGGGTGCCTGTAGTCCCGGCTACTCGGGAGGCTGAGGCAGGAGAATGGCTTGAACCCAGGAGGCGGAACTTGCAGTGAGCCAAGACTGTGCCACCGCACTCCAGTCTGGGCAACAGAGCAAGACTCCATCTCAAAAAAAAAAAAAGAGTTCAAGATCAGCCTGGCCAATATGGTGAAACCTCGTCTACTAAAAATACAAAACTTAGCCGGGTGTTGATGGTGGACGCCTGTAATCCCAGCTACTCAGGAGGCTGAGGCAGGAGAATCGCTGGAACCCAGGAGGCAGAGTTTGCAGTGAGTCGAGACTGTGCCTCTGCACTACAGCCTGGGTAACAGAGCAAAAAACTCTGTCTTAAAAAAAAATTATCTGGGTGCCGTGGTTCACACCTGTAGTCCCAACTATTCTGGAGTGTGATATGAGATCACATGGTCCCAGGAGGTCAAGGCTGTACTGCAGCATTATCGCGCCTGTGACTAGCCACTGCATCCCAGCCTGGGCAACATAGTGAGAACTCATCTCTTAAAAAAAAAAAAAGAAAAGAAAGGGTAGGGGGCAGCTATCAGGTAGAAAAAATAGGTAAGAGACATGAATAGGCTACTCACAAAAGAAATACAAATGCCCAGAAAACAAAGGAGAAGAAATTCAGACATACTACTTATGAAATGCAATTAAAGCAATAATGGGATTAATGTCTACTGTCTTGAATTTAAATACTTTTTTTTAAGTCTGAGTATGGTGGCTCACTCCTGTAATCCCAACACTTTGGGAAGCCAAGGCAGGAGGATTGCTTGAGGCTAGGAGTTCAATACCAGTCTGGACAACATAGCGAGACCCATCTCTACAAACACATTAAAAATTAGCCAGGCGTGGTAACGCACACCTGTTGTCCCAGCTACTTGGGAGGCTGAGGTGGGAGGATTGTTTGAGCCTAGGAGTTTGAGGCTGCGGTGAGTTATGATTGCACCATTGCACTCCAGCCTGGGCAACAAAGTGAGACTAATCTCATTTTAAAAAAAAAAGATTTTTTTTTAATGAATTAACAATGGGATATATTTTTTGGTACTTGATTGGCAAAGTTTGGAAAAATGGATCGCACACAGTATTAGGCAGGACATGGGAAAAACCAGACATTCTAATATGGTATTAATGAGTGTAAATGGATACAACGGTTTTAGAGGCCAGCAAATTAAAATTGAAAAGACTGATGTCTTTTGTACAGATGCATAAATGAATACAGCACTATTCATTAAAGCACCTTTATAATAGTGAAACATTAGAATGGCCTATCCAGCTGTAATAAAAGACTGGTTACATTCTAATAGCTACCATTTCCTGAATACTGACTCTGGGTCAGATACCATACTTGTTTCTGCAAATCTGTTTGCATTCCTTAATCTTTACTCCAAGCCTGTGAGAGGCACAGAGTACTCCATTAAATGGCTGCAAAACAGAGGTTCAGAAAAATCGAGGCACTTGCCCAAAGTCTATGTTACTAGTAAGTGGCAGAGCCAGAAATTGAATTGACACCAATGACTATGCTGTCCTGTCCCCCATGAAATGGCATATTACAGAGCTATTTTACAAAGTGGGCTGAGTCAACTCTTACTAACTTGGAAGGGTATCTGAGATATACTTTGTAGAAAAACAAGTTGCAAGAAGTATATTATCTGTTTGAAAAAAAAACTCAGTACATTTATTTATATATACATATATTTATATATTTATGTATACGTGTTTATATCTTCTTAAAAGTCCAGAGAGATAATAAATTGTAATTATTTGTTATCTCTTTAAAAGGGATGGAATTACTGGATTCACTATTATATTACTTTTTCACTGAGCATGTATTTTAATAACACTTTTTAAAAATCACATATACTTTCTAAGAAAAAGCAAAGTTTTTCACTTCATTTTGTCTGTTAGGTAATTCCAGTGAATTCTGCAGGCTCTCCTGTTGGGGATGTGCCATTCATCCGATCAGGATTGCTGGGGTTTGTAGGGCCGGTAAGTGATGCTCTCATGTTGATTTTGTTACATTTGATCCAAATATTTGGACTTTAATTCACAGAACAGAACAAATTCTGATTAGTCCAAGAGTGTTACAGAATCATTTCACTTATATTTAGAGCAGTTCTTGTAAGGATGTCGTAAAATGAGTTAGTGTTTATCATTTCCACTACCCAGATTCATTTGACTCCTTCAAACTAAGACATTTTTTATTTTCTTTTTTTCCCCACTGAGGTCAGAAGACATAATGAGACATTTTTTTATTTTCAGAACTCTTTTCACTTATTCTCACTCTCTCTCTCTGATTTGATTAACATGTTGCAATAAGTTAGAGCATGCTGAAAAAAGTTATCTTCAGTAGCAAAGACAAACTATAATACATAGTGTACAGAGCATCTTCATGTAAACGACTGGCACTATGTGATGTGTAATAGTAAATCCTTTGAGTGAAAACAGTTTGGGCTGGGCGTGGTGGCTCACGCCTGTAATCCCAGCAGTTTGGGAGGCCGAGGTGGGCGGATCACCTGAGGTCAGGAGTTTGAGACCAGGCTGGCCAACATGGCAAAACCCTGTCTCTACTAAAAATACAAAAATAAGCTGGGTGTGGTGGCGTGTGACTGTAATTCCAGCTACTTGGGAGGCTGAGGTAAGAAAATCGCTTGAACCCTGGGACGTGGAGATCACACCACTGTGCTCCAACCTGGGCAACAGAGCAAGACTTCATTTCAAACAACAAAAACAAACTTGATGAGCCTGAGGATGGCAGAGATCTAGGTCATGGAGGGGCTTTGCATGACATCATGGGAAGTAGGATTTTATTTTGTAAGTAATAGTCATTATTCCTAACTAAGCCCATATCCCTCCATTCATCTCTAATTACCTCCTACCCTCTCTTCTTTTCCACTTAACATCTTCAGTCATATAAGAGATCTAATTTTATTTTATTTCCTCGTTGCCATTTATGGAGGGGCAGGGTGGGTGAGGACATAGAGCTAGGAGAATCACTCTTGACTTTTTCACTTAGCACCAGGAAATTCTCAGAGACCCACCTCCTTTTAGCTTACAGCTCCATGATTGAGGTCCAAGATGGAGCTCCAAGCCTCTCATCTGCATTCCAAGAAACAGGGAAAGGTGCAGTCCTCTTCTTTAAAGGAAGATTCCCTGAAGCTGCTGTGCAACACTTTCTCTTATTGGTCTGAACTAGTCCTACAGCCACACCTAGCTGCAAGGGAGACTGGAATGTAGTCTTTATTTTGGTCAACCATGCCCAGGTGAAAATTATCCTACTGTGAACAAAATGGAGAAATGGACATTGAAGGAATGGCAGCGACTGTCTCATTCTCTTACCAACACCATAGCTTTTCAGCCTCTGTTGGAAATGGCTGCTTTTTTCCTGACATACAGGTTGAACCAGTAGCTTGTTGAGGAGATGGGTTATGTCTTACACGGCCCAGTCACTGTGTAGGGTACATTGTGCTCAGTAAATCAGTGAGTGACATTCACATGGAGATAACTACTAGGTAGGTGAATATATGTAAATGGACTAAGAAATTTAGGAATTCTGTAATGAATGAGAAAAGTTAATTTGCTGCAAATGAGTCTGGGAAGATTATACAGTGATGCTTTTGGGGATTTGATAGTAGTTCCTTGCTGCTCTGTTTTCTTACTGGAAAAGAAAAGCACCTACTGTGTTCCTTAGACCTTTCTTTATTAGCCTAGTTCTAATCTTGCCAGATGGAAACAGCATTACCCTTACCAACCTGAAGCGGTCATTCTCCTATTTAAACTGTTTTAATCTCCTCCAAATTCCAATAGTAAATGAATACATTTTTCTTCCTCTGTATCCTCTGAATAGAAACATAAGCAAACTAACACATAAATCATGGCTGGGAAAATCAACTATGCTTGGGTGGAATCCTAGTTGTTTTCTTATAAAGTTCCTCCCTAAAATAAATATGAGTAAATTCCCTTCTTAGGTATCCTGTGAGAACTCATTGGCTCTAAGATGCCACTCTTTTCCCAGCTGATTTCAGAGATATCAGGATGTGAAACGGTTTCTCTAGAATCCACAAAATATGGCAATTGTCTTTTTAATACTTTTTAAATGAGATTTATTTAAAGGCGGGAAGTTAAAAGATGTCTGTTTCATTGTTTAAATCATGGAAATCAAGGCAAATCATCATTACCTTTCAGGGTAGTTTGGTGTTCGTGGTTGGGAAAATGGATGGCTTACTGATGGTTAGTGGTCGGAGACATAACGCTGATGACATTGTTGCTACTGGATTGGCTGTAGAGGCAATAAAGACTGTTTATAGAGGAAGGTGAGTAGTACAAAATTCAGATGTTAGCACCTTTTAATGGAATCTAAATAGATCTTCACATAGTGATTTCAGTTGTATTTTGTCGGTTCTCTTTCCAAGTGATCAGATTGTTTTTTTTAAGTATTGCATAAGCCTGGCTTTTTTTTTTTTCTTCTTCTTCTTCTTCTTAGCCTGGCTTTTAATATATATTTCACAACATCTGGTTCTTCAGCTGTAACTAAGAGGATTAAGATGCAACTATATCCTCTACTTCAGATTTAAAGTATTACCATTTGTTGAATCCTGAGGACTGAGGAGAATTCTAAAACATTAACTTCCTACATTTCTTCAATGCAAAAGTAGTGCCATTCAGACTAATTGAGATAGATGCTACTCTTTAGGCATTTACATCTAAGAATTGTTTCTCTTGTTTCTGATTAAATTATACGATTTTAATGTGGGGATTGAGATAGTACGTAATTTCAGATTCCATGGACAAAGTCAATTAGATATCTTTTTTCTTTGCTTATTAATGTAAGAAAAGATATTTGCTACATATTTGAGTGGTTGATGTCCTATTCAGCAGTTTGCAATCATGGATGTATCTCTTTAAGGCAAACTTGGTGTCCCTTTAAGAAGAAAAATTAATGAAACAGTTTCTGAAATGTATAGTTTTTTTGTAGTGGTGTGGCTTCCTATGAGATGTAAAGTCCATGGGGCGCTATACCTGCCTTTGGTCACAGTCATATCCCAGCAATCGGTAGTGCCGGACACCTGGTAGGTGTTGGGTGAATGTGTGTGGAAGGAACGAAGGAGGGTGTCAGGCAGGCATGCCGGCAGACTCTGCTCTCCGGTGCCTTCCCATTCTTTCATGCATTCATTCAACAAATATTCACTGGGTGCCAACACTGTGCCGCTGTCCTGGAGGCTCCAGCTGCGGCGGTGAACAAAACAGGCCAAGTCTCTGTCCTTGTGAAGCTCACATGCTTGTTGTGGGAAACAGACAGGAACCACATAAACAGGGCAATAGATAACGTGTGAGACAGTGACAAGTGCTGTGGAGGAAAACACATGGGGGTGGGGGTGGCCTGCCAGTTTCTATGAGGTGGCCTGAGAGTGCCTCACTAGTAAGGGGACATTTGAGCGGAGACCTCCCTCAGAACCAACTTCATCCTCTCTCCCATGGCCTCTCAGGTCCACTGTGATCTGCCCTGGCCTGGGTCTGACCTCTCTCCCTCCCGGTCTCTGCTTCACCACTTTGCTCCAGGCACACTGGCCTTCTTGCTGTTCCTCAAACCTGCCAAGCTCGTCCCTACCTCAGAACCTTTTCGCTTTCCGTTCCTTCTGCCCGGAAACCTCTTCCTCCAGATCTTCGCGTGGCTCGCGTCCTCACCTCATTCAGGTCTCTGCTCCAATGTCCGCTCCTCAGGGAGGCGCCCCCCAGCCACCCTGCCCTCAGTAATACGCCACCCTACACACCACTCCACCCCTTGTATATTGCAATATGGCATTATTCTGTATTTATGTGTTTGTTCTGTCTCTAACACATAAGTGCCACAAAGACAAGAACATTGTCTTATTTACCACTGTGTCCCAACATTCATGACAGTTGTGCTTAATACATATTATTTAAATGAATGAATGCTCATTTTGAGAGTAATGATTATGACATTTTCTTTTCTAAGCTACTCATTTCGGGTAGCATGGTGGGGTTGTCTCCTCTCTGTAATTCCAGTTAAACAAAGCAAATAGGACTGGTTGTGAAGGGAGTCCTGATGTGTTTGATCTGTCTCTCTTAGAATTGCTGTGTTTTCTGTGTCTGTATTTTATGATGAGCGCATTGTGGTGGTTGCGGAACAAAGACCTGATGCTTCCGAGGAAGATAGTTTCCAGTGGATGAGCCGCGTGCTGCAGGTGAGCACACCTTGGGGTCTGTGTCAGGTCAGCAGTGGCAGCAACCACTGCCTAAGCATTTCATTTTCTTCGATCAGCCAGTAATGCCACCTTATTTTTTCTTGCCAATCATTGCTCACATATTCTGGGTACTATTAGCAAAATCAGATAATTAATACCATTTCTCCTTGTGGACTACATAGTATTTTTCTGCTCAGGTTGCCAAAAACAATGGAATTGACTTGCCTCAGCAAATTCTTTCATGCCTGAGTGTTTACTACTTGTGAAAGTTTTAACTGTCATATGTGGAACACATCTCTGGCAGTAATCAATCCACTTGTCAACAGTCAGCCACAGTTTTACTATGTGTCATAAGTGGTGCCGACGGTGTGAGGGATCCAAGAAAATACAACTATTAGCCTTACTCTGAAGGAGCTTTCCTGTGGGGCTAGAGATGCTAGGTGAGATAAACCATGAGGGAAGGAGAATGCTTTGGGCTCAGTCTAAGCAATATGTCTGTGGTGGGGAGCAGGCTAGATTGATGACAAGAGCCTAGTCTTTGCTTAGAATCATAGACTTGGAATCCCAGCTCCATTTCTTACCAGGTATGTGCCCTTGGGCAAGTCATTTAACCTCACTGAGTTTGTTTCCTAACCTGCAAAGTGGGATAAAATTATCTGTTTTATAGAGCTATTTGGAAGGATTAAATGAGGTAATTAATTGAAGTATATAGTACCTGCACTCAGTAAATAATGATGGTGATTGTTATTATCCATCCCTACCAAAATTTTTTTAAAAATTATCCAGGCGGTGGCTCACGCCTGTCATCCCAGCACTTTGGGAGGCTGAGTTGGGTGGATCATGAGTTCAGGAGATCGAGACCATCCTGGCTAACACGGTGAAACCCACTCTCTACTAAAAAAAAAAAAAAAAAAAAAAAATTAGCTAGCATTGGTGGCAGGCACCTGTAGTCCCAGTTACTGGAGAGCTGAGGCAGGAGAATGGCATGAACCCGGGAAGCAGAGCTTGCAGTGAGCCGAGATCATACCACTGCACTCCAGCCTGGGCGACAGATGGAGACTCTGTCTCAAAAAAAAAAAGAAAAAAAAAAAGATATCCAGGTGTAGTTGTTACACCTGTGATCACACTTAAAAGGCGAGTGGGAGGATCACTTGAGCCCAGTAGGTCAGCACTGCAGTGAGCTATGATCATGCCACTACAGTTCAGCCTGGGTGACAGAGGAAGACCCTGGCTCAAAATAATATAATAATAGGAATAATAATGATAGTAATAATGAGCCAGGTGCTGTGACAGGCACCAGTAGCCCCAGCTACTCAGAAAGCTGAGGTGGGAGGATCGCTTGAGCCCAGGAGGTGGAGGCTGTAGTGCACTATGGTTGCACCTGTGAATAGCTACTGTACTTCAACCTGTGCAACACAGCAGAAACCCATGTCTCGAAAAATAAAAAATTATAAGAATAGTCTCCAATTAGAGAGGGCCGCTTCCTCTCAATTAATATTCCCTTTCATTCTCTGTCCCTTCACTCTTCTTTATTTTTCTACTTAGCACTTAACATCTTGTATGTTTATATGTATTGTTTTCTATATCCAGTATAATATAAGGCAAGATGAAGAATTTTTTGTCTCTCTTGTTCAGGGCTCAATCCCCAGAGCCCAATAACCATGCTAGTAGACGTCGTAGTAGGCTCAGTAAATATTTGTTGGCTAAGTGGACGGTCCAAAGAAAGTGTGGCCTGTCCTTGCTATACTTAGGTATCAGTGGAAGTGTTCCTGAGGTCTGTAACTTCTCTACTTGGGGAACTTGAATTTATTAACTGCTAGTTAATAGCAATGTTGTAGAAACAATGCAAGCATGAGATAGTGGTATTGCTAGATTACCTTTTTTTTTTTTTTTTTGAGCCAGAGTTTCTCTCTCGTTGCCCAGGGTAGAGTGCAATGGCACGGTCTTGACTCACTGCAACCTCCGCCTCCTGGGTTCAAGCGATTCTCCTGTCTCAGCCTCCTGAGTAGCTGGAATTACAGGCACCCACCACCATGCCCAGCTAATTTTTTTGTATTTTTAGTAGAGATGGGTTTTCACCATGTTGGCCAGGCTGGTCTCAAACTCCTGACCTCAGGTGATCCACCCACCTCAAGCCTCCCAAGGTGCTGGGATTACAGGCGTGAGCCACCTCACCTGGCTGCTAGATGACTTTTAATATTTCTTTCTATCTCAGCGTCTGTAATTCTGAATTATCAGCTGATATGGCATAGGCTCTTTGTAGTAGAAAATCAGAAAAGAAAATATACTGAAGATAGACTAGTCAGGAAAGACTATGAAGAAGGTACAATGGGGCAGATCTCTGAAAGATGGCTAAGGGGCAGATGTGCAAAGAGAATATTTTTCATACCAATCATATTTTCAGACAGAAACCTTATTTTGTTCAGAATGAACTTTGGGGCATATAATGGTAGAACCTTTGGTGAATTACACGTTTTCTTCTATTATAGAAAAGTGAGTATACCTGACATTTCCCAAGATATTTGTTACTTTTCCCTGGAAAGCAACTATAGGAATTAACTACAGTGCCAATTTACTAATCCAAACTCTTGTGAAAGTCATTTGGGTTCCGATTTGGGCATGAGATAACAGGCCATTCTTTTCGCAGTCTTTGTAACTTATCAGCTTGGAGCATTTGAGTCCATAGTAGAACAGTAAATGACACCATGTATTCTAACAGATTAAAGGCCAGAGGTGGTTGAATTCCAGCTCTGTGTATATTATAAACTAAATACCTAACTCAGCACCTTCTAAGGAAAGGCAGTTAGTAGATGACTTATCAGATGTGTTTTTAATGAGGAATTCAGGCTACATGTAGCACATTTGCTAACTTTCCGTGTATTCTAAAAAAAACAGAAACTTAGGAACTCTGCCAGACTATCCATTTCCCAGTCATCTGTGTTGGTTGGTAGGATAGTCTGAGGATTGTGATTTTCAAGTTTATTCTTTTGCCCTTTTAAATTGTTTTTTGTTTGTTTGTTTGTTTTGGTTTGGTGTGTTTTGTTTTTGAGATGGAGTTTCACTCTTGTCTCCCAGGCTGGAGTACAGTGGCATGATCTCGGCTCACTGCAACCTCCGCCTCCCAGGTTCAAGCAATTCATCCTGCCTTAGCCTCCCAAGTAGCTGGGATTACAGGCACCCGCCGCCACACCTAGCTAATTTTTGTATTTTTAGTAGAGACGGGGTTTCGCCACGCTGGCCAGGGTGGTCTCAAACTCCTGACCTCAGGAGATCCACCCACCTCGGCCTCCCAAAGTGCTGGTATTACAGGTGTGAGTCACTGTGCCTGGCCCCTTAAATTGTTTTAATAAAAGGCCTTGGTCACACATGGTGGCTCACGCTTCTAGTCCCAACAATTTGGGAAGCTGAAGCTGAGGGTCACTTGAGTTCGAGACCAGCCTGGGACAATAGAGCGAGACCCTGTCTCTGCAAAGAATAAACAAATGAATAAATAAATTAGCTGGATGCACTACTTGTGGTCCCAGTTACTTGAGAGGTTGGGGCAGGAGGATCACTTGAGCCCAGCAATTTGAGGTTACAGTGAGCTATGGTCATACCATTGCACTCCAGCCTGGATGACAGAGCAAGACCCTGTCATTCATACATACATTACATACATACATGCATAACTGTGAGTCCACTCTACTTCTAAGATTGTATCTCTTGTTCAGTAAGACCTATGGGTAATATGGTAGAAATCTCCTAACTAGTATTAACAGTTGGTCAGTTTTAGCCAGGCAGGATGGCTCACGTCTGTAATCCCAGCACTTTGGGAGGCCGAGGCGGGCGGATCACTTGAGGTCAGGAGTTCAAGACCAGCCTGGCCAACGTGTTAAAACCTTGTCTCTACTAAAAATACAAAAATTAGCCCGATGTGGTGGCAAATGTCTGTAATCCCAGATACTGGAGAGGCTGAGACAGGAAAATTGTTTGAACCCAGGAGGTGGAGGTTGTGGTGACCTGAGATTGTGCCACTGCACTTCAGCCTGGGAGAAAAAATGAGATTCCATCTCAGAAAAAAAAAAAAAAAAAAAGGCTGGGCACAGTGGCTTATGCCTGTAATCCCAGCACTTTGGGAGACCAAGGCAGGTGGATCACGAAGTCAGGAGTTCGAGACCAGCCTGGCCAACATAGTGAAATCCCATCTCTAATAAAAATGCAAAAAATTAGCCAGGTGGGGTGGCAGGCGCCTGTAATCCCAGCTACTCTGGAGGCTGAGGCAGGAGAATTGCTTAACCCGGGAGGCGGAGGTTGCAGTAAACCGAGATTGCGCCATTGCACTCCAGTGTGGGCAACAATGCAAGACTCTGTCTCAAAAAAAAAAAAAAGTTGATGGGTTTCATAATAATGAGAAATTCTTCAAGTATTAAATTTTAATAGAAAATATCTACATGTATATTCCTTGGATGTAGAGAAGTGTGATTACGAATATACCAACTTGAGGTCCAGGTCCACTTACGTCCATAAACTATATCAAAATGCATTGTCTTCAGTTTCTCATTTTTCTTTTTATTTTTATTTTTTAAATTAAAATATAGAGATGGGGTTTTGCCATGTTGCCCAGGCTGATCTCAAACTCCTGAACTCAAACTATCTTCTCACCTTGGCCTCCCAAAGTGCCGAGATGACAGGTATGAGCCACCATAGCCAGCCTGGTTTTATTTTCTGTAAAGTTAGCACCAGAATGTGGGTATTTGAAAAATGATTGAGTGGATGTCTTCACTTTAGGATTAACTCGCCTGACCTATGACCAGTGGTTTTTCAGGAGCTCCCTTTTAGTGTATCTTTCCAAAGCATAGCTCCTTCTGTGTTTTTGCATTTGTATTTTGTCAGTTAACATAATATTTAATTACATTGTGTGAAAACAAGAACCGCTGTCAAACAGTGTAGAAACACAGCTGACTTTAAGCAAACATGCAGTTACATGGCTGCGAGCACAGGTACGCTCGGGGTAGCTTGTGGCCTCCAATGCTCGGTGTGCTGTGGGCCTCACCCCAGATGGGTTTCAGAGGAGGTGCATGGTGACATGGTGAATCACTTAAGTGGGGGCTCCTTTAGAGAGTGCTGTTGTGTTCATAATAAAAATACCTTACCTCTGTTTAATTAGGCTTTGTTGGCTGATAGCTAAAAGATTAAAGGAACCAAAACAAATTTCTAGGTTTTTGACATTATCACTTAAGAGAGAACATATTGGCTGGGCATGGTGGCTTATGACAGTAATCTCAGCACTTTGGGAGGCCAAGGTGGGAGCATCACTTGAGACCAGGAGTTCAAGACCAGCCTAGGCAACACAGTGAGACCCCATCTCTCCAAAAACCTTAAAATTAAAAAAAAAAAAAAGAAGAAGAAAAGAAAAAAATGTATTTTAAATTAGCCAGGTGCAGTGGTGCATCTCTGTAGTCCCAGCTGCTTGGGAGGCTGAGGCAGGAGGATCACTTGAGCTTAGGAGTTTGGGGCTGTCATGGCTTATGCCATTGCATTCCACCCTAGCTGACAGAGTGAGACCCTGTCTCTAAAAAGAATAAAAACTTAAAAAGAGAACATACTGAGAGTTACAAGTCAGTATCCACCTTTGTCCATTTAGATTGTATCTTACCTCTCTTCTTGTAATCTCTGCCACAGCCGAAAGATGTGTATTATCTTGATTATATTTAAATCTCTAGATATATGGAATCTTAATGATCTACCAGATTCTAGATCTAGAATGGGTAGAGCAAGAAAAATGGTAGAGTAAAATAACGGATTATACTAGGAATATGTCAAATGTAATAGAAGTGATCTCATTGAGTATTTTTGTTTGTATTTTTCTAGGCGATCGATAGCATTCATCAAGTGGGGGTTTATTGTCTTGCTCTGGTGCCGGCCAATACATTGCCAAAAACTCCACTAGGAGGAATTCATATATCTCAGACGAAACAACTCTTTCTGGAGGGATCGCTGCATCCTTGCAATATCCTCATGTGCCCACATACATGTGTGACAAACTTGCCAAAGCCCCGGCAAAAACAACCAGGTAATATGCTGGCTTCCAAGACCTGGCACTGAAATTCCAACTTCAAGAAGCTGGGTTCTCTCAGTGTGATTCTTTCTCTAGAATTAGTTTACAAAGACTTTGGGAGGCCAAGGTGGGAGGATCGCATGAGTCCAGGAGTTCGAAAACAACCTGGGCAACATGGTAAAATCCGGTCTCTACAAAAAAAGAAAAAAAAAAAAAAAAAGCAAAAAATTAGCCAGGCCTGGTGGTGCACACCTGTAGTCTCAGCTACTTCAGAGTCTGACAGAGGATGGCTTGAGCCTAGGAGGTTGCAGTAAACCGAGATTGCGCCATTGCACTCCAATCTGGGCAACAGAACCAGACCCTGTCTCAACAAAAAAGAAGGAGAGGAAAGGGAAGATGGAAAAGGTGTTAGGGCAGCCCGGAGGCCAAGATATCCTTGAGATGCCTTTGGAGCTATTGTAGAAAGAAAGAATGTGTTTGTTAGGACTAGTCTTGGCTGCAAGTTGCAGAAAAACATAATAGCAGCTCAGGCAAGAAACAAGCTTATATTTTTGTCAGGTAAAAAAAGTTCAGAGCTAGGTAGTCCAAAGGCTAGGATAGTCACTCCTCGATCATGTTCTTCTAGCTTCCCATCTTTTTGCTCTGGTGTTTTGTCAGTCAACTCTTGCCATAGATACGCTACAGAACAAATAACCCTAAAACTCAGTGCCTTGAAGTAGCAAGCATTTACTGTTTACTCATGAGATGCAGATCTGGTTGGCTTGGCTGGAATCCACTGGACTTGACTTGGCTCCAGGCTTAGGTTAGGTTCAGAGCTGTTCCATGTGTCTCCTCATCACGGGACCAGCAGCTACCTGGGCCGTATGTTTTTTAAGGCAGATGGCAGAAGCAAGAAATCAAGCCAAGCCACACGAGCATATTTAAAGCTTCTGTTTGTGTCACATGTCCTAACATTTCATTGTCCTAAACAAGAAGTATACTTCTCCCATCCAGACATAACTAGGACAGGAAAGAAAGGAAGATTGTGAGAAAATAAAATAATCTGCCACAGCCATCATTAGCAACTGCCCCAGGGCTCATTAGGCTCCTCAACCTCTACATCCCAGCCAGCAGGTAGGAGGAAAAGATAAAGAAAGGATACTCTTCCCTTTAACATATTTTCTAGAAATTGTACATGTTACTTCCTCTAACGTATTATCCTCCCACACTAAAGAATATAGTCTTTATTCCAGCTGTGTGTCCAGCTAAAAACTGGGAGTTCTGTTATTAAGGAAGAAGAATAGAATAGATACTGGAATTGATAACTAGCAGTTCTTGGCATAAGATGTTTACAGAATTTTATGGGAAAATCAGAAGGCATATTTACCAGTACAGCAGTGTCTGCAATTAGCTTCCTGGAGTTACTGCTTTTAGTATCTTTCATTCTCTGTGACCCATAGACCCATAGACTCACGAAATGCACACAGAATAACATCAAGGAACTGCTGCTGAATTTGTTTTATTGTTTTAAACTACTGCAAAATTCACTTTTTAAAATGTCATGCCTTTATTAATTTTATAATGTGAATCCTGGATTGCACAGTTTACAGAAATACACTCTGAGTCCCTGCCTGTATTAAAAGGCTATCTCCAACATGATATATCTATAATTTGTCATGAAGTTTCTTAGGGAGTAATATTGCATATTTACTTAAAATTGTAGTAGAGACTTTGTAGACTAAAACTGTTCACCAATTGGAATACTTTATCTTTTTTGAGTTTTTTGTTTTATTTTTAAATTTTTTAAACTTTCCATTTTGAAATAATTTCACACACAAAAGTTGCCACATGGTGCAAAGATTTTCCTTACATCCTTTACCCAGCTTCCCCAAATATTTACCCTTTGAAAATTATTATATGATTTAAGTGATTTTTCTTTCATTTGTTTCAGTATATTCAGGATCAGCAGATTTTGATAGAATAAAAGGTTTTTTTTTTTTTTTTGAGATGGAGTCTCGCTCTGTCGCCCAGGCTGGAGTGCAGTGGCGCCATCTTGGCTCACTGCAACTTCTGCCTCCTGGGTTCATGCCATTCTCCTGCCTCAGCCTCCCGAGTAGCTGGGACTACAGGCGCCCGCCACCACGCCCTATTTTTTTTTTTGTATTTTTAGTAGAGACAGGGTTTCACTGTGTTAGCCAGGATGGTCTCAATCTCCTGACCTCGTGATCCGCCCGCCTTGGCCTCCCAAAGTGCTGGGATTATAGGCATGAGCCACCGCGCCCGGTCAAATAAAAGATTTTAAATATTAATCCAGTATAGCATCAGCCTTATTTAAAACCTAGCTGGCAATAAGCTTTTTTAAATCATCTTTTTGCCATCTTCTTAGTTCCATAAGGCGGTGACCATGAAGAGAGGGACACAGTGCCTAGCACTTTTTTCTAGAGAGGGAGTGGGCTCCCCTGTTTATTTTGAAGTGTCGAACCTATGGAAAAGTTAGAAGAATAGTACGGTGAGGAGCACCCATGTAACCTACCCTAGATTTACCAATTGCTGCCTTTTTTTTTTTTTTTTTTTTGAGATAGAGTTCGCTCTGTTGCCTAGGCTGGAGTGCAGTGGCGTGATCCGGCTCACTGCAACCTCTGCCATCCAGGATCCAACCACCTGAGTACCTGGGATTACAGGTGTGAGCTACCACGCCCAGCTAATTTTTGTATTTTTAGTAGAGATGGGGTTTTGCCGTGTTGGCCAGGATAGTCTCAAATTCCTGGCCTCACATGGTCTGCCGTCTCTGCCTCCCAAATTGGTAGGATTACAGGAGCAAGCCACCATGCCTGGCATTGCTGACATTTTTTTCCCTGAGTTTTTTTTGGTTTTGTTTTTGCTTTTTTTGAGACAGGGTCTTAACACTGTTGCCCAGGCTGGAGTACAGTGGCACGATCTCAGCTCACTGCGGCTTTGAACTCTGGCACAAACGATCCTCCCACCTCAGCCTCCCGAGTAGCCTGGACTAAAGATGTCTGCCTCCATACCAGGCTAATCTTTTTGTATTTGTAGAGACAGGGTTTTGCCATGTTGCCCAGGCTGGTCTCAAACTCCTGGGCTCAAGTGATCTGTCCGCCTGAGCCTCCCAAAGTGCTGTGATTACAGGCGTAAGCCACCATTCCCGGCCATTATTCACTTTTAATTGAACAAATTTAATATTCTAGATAAACTCCCTCAGGCCTCATAGATGACAAATTTCTTTCCAAGCCAGATATTCTTTATTGTTAAGCCCTCTTTTAGGGTTCTATTATGATTGGAGAAGATTAAAATATTAGTAGGAGCTTGTGCAACCAGCTGTCACCTCCTCCGTGTGAAAACTTTCTGTATACCCCAAACTATAATAGCTGCCTGCTTCCCTCCACCCCAGTCCCTATCCCTCCTGTGTTCCTCCTGTTTGTTTGTTTGTTTCCAGTACTTTGCACTATTTGTGTTTATTTATTTGTGTATGTATTTCTTGGTTACCCTTCTCCAGAGTGCAGGCTCTTTGCCCTATTTGCTCCTGGGTTCCCAGTGCCTAGAAGAATGTTCAGTCAGTATTGTTGGATGAATATTTGAACCAGTTTTGGTCAGTCTGGAAATGCTCTGGATACTTAGTTGGAATTGCCATCTCCAGTGAGCTGGGTTTTGCATTCATTTACAGGTGTAGGCCCTGCTTCCGTGATGGTTGGGAATCTGGTTGCTGGAAAACGTATAGCACAAGCTGCTGGAAGGGATCTGGGACAAATAGAAGAGAATGATTTGGTGAGGAAGGTAAGTGTTCCTGAAATGTTGCCTTCTTACTGAAATCAAGTCAAGGACAGAACTTGTACTGCAGGTAGCAGCTGAGGGATACATTATGTGACTTGTTATAAGTTGCTGACCCTGAGTCCTTTTTCTGGTTTATGACTTCAGCACCAGTTTCTGGCAGAGATCCTACAGTGGCGAGCCCAGGCGACTCCTGACCATGTACTCTTCATGCTGTTAAATGCCAAGGTATTAAAAATTCAATGGTATATCTAATCAACTGACGACTATAGGACTATCTTAAGCACTCTTGATTGCTTTCTTTCATCAGAAAATTTGTGTTGCCATCTCTGAAGAAGGAGTTAATGGCTTTCTCCTTGCTTTGACATATGAGGGTAAACTGTGCAATCACTTTAGGATTGGAATGAGACCTCCTGGAGTGCTATGTAATACTTTCTTTTCTTATGGTACAAGCACGTCTTCTTTATTCAATTATGATAGGAGAAATGGAGCCAACAGTGCAATTACATAGATACACAGATGTTCAAAATGTGTTATGTCATATAGTTTTTTTACCCAGTTGGACTTTTAATTCTTTGATTTCTGCCAGGAAGAAAATGACCTCAGACCAGCATTTTAAAAACCTAAGTTATTTCTGGTACATAATTAAATGATTTATTGCTAACAGATAAAAAGCAAATTGAAATTTACTCAAAGAGCACATTTAACTACTGGTTTCTGACAGATGGTTCGTTATAATATTGTATTTTAGGACTGGGCACGGTGGCTCACACCTGTAATCCCAAAGCTTTGGGAGGCCGAGGCGGGTGGATCACATGAGGTCAGGAGTTCGAGACCAGCCTGACCAATATGTGAAACCCCGTCTCTACCAAAAATATAAAAATCAGCTGGGCCTGGTGGTGGGCGCCTGTAATCCCAGCTACTCGGAAGGCTGAGGCAGAAGAATCGCCCGAACCCAGGAGGCAGAGGTTGCAGTGAGCCGAGATTATGCCACTGCACTCCAGCCCAGGTGACAGAGCAAGACCCTATCTCAAAAATAAAAAGAGAAAAAGTATATATATATTTATATATAATATATAATATATATTATGATATATAAATATATATATTTATATATAATATATAATATATATTATGATATATAAATATATATAAAAAGAAAAAATACACATATATTTTTTGAGATGCAGTCTTGCTCTGTCGCCTGGGCTGGAGTGCAGTGGCATGATCTCGGCTCACTGCAGCCTCCGCCTCCCGGGTTGAAGCGATTCTTCTGCCTCAGCCTCCCGAGTAGCTGGGATTACAGGCGCCCACCACCAGGCCCAGCTGATTTTTATATTTTTGATACAGACGGGGTTTCACATGTTGGTCAGGCTGGTCTCGAACTCCTGACCTCAGGATCCACCTTCCTTGGCCTCCCAAAGTGCTAGGATTATAGGCGTGAGCCACCACGCCCGGCCTATATATTGTATTTTAAAATTATGCATTCTGTGGGAGTCAGCTGAGTTTTTGTGTTGATGGCTGAGTCACAGGCTCAAAGTCTGTGACCATGTGGATAGCAGTATTTCTCCTCAGCAGGGGGAAGACTGGAAGTGCCTATTGGAGCTCTTAGGGGACTTATCCAAAGTATACCCATCTCCCCCATTCCCCTGGAATCTGATTTTTATTTTTATTTTTTTTGAGGAATGTATGCAATAATAGAACTTAATGAGAAGAATATACTGTGCATCTTATTGAAAAATCATTAAAAATCTTAAGAACCATTACTTTTATGACAGAAAATTTAGGAAGTTTCTTGCTCTACCTCTACATGAAGTGAGCTTCTTTTCAAGCCCATGGATTCATTAAGGTTCTCATATTTCTTTTAAAAATGTCAGCCAGGCATGGTGGCTCATGCCTATAATCCCAGCTTCTTGGAAGGATGAGGCAGGAGGATGTCTTGAACCTGGAGTTGGAGGCTGCAAGCTGCAGTAAGCTGTGATTACATAACTGCACTGCAGCTTGGGCAACAGCAAGACCATGTCAGAACAAAAAAAAGAAAAAAAAAGGATCCCATACATGTCTGTCTATCTGTTTGTTTGTTTGTTTGTTTGTTTGTTTGTTTGTTTTTGGAGACAGAATCTCGCTTTGTCGCCCAGGCATTGGCTCAAGTGATCCTCCCACTTCTGCCTCTTGAGTAGCTGGGACTACAGGCACGTGCCACCACCATACCTGACTGATTTTTTTTGTATTTTCAGTGGAGAGGAGATCTTGCTATGTTGCCAAGGCTTGTCTTGAACTCCTGGGCTCAAGCAGTGCCCCCACCTCATCCTCCCAAAGTGCTAGGGTTACAGGTGTGAGCCACCCTGTCCAGCTCCACACGTCTTTGATTTTAGGGGAATTTTCACTAGAATTGATAATTTGCTAAGGATAATCTACAAAGGCACAAGCCTTTTTCAGGTATGGTGTTGAACTGGCTGTGCTTATTATAGTTTATTTGCTTTCTGAGCTTTGACCCGCTTATCCTTTCTGTTGTTTAAAGGGAACCACTGTATGCACAGCCAGCTGCCTTCAGCTTCATAAACGAGCAGAGAGGATTGCGGCCGTTCTTGGTGATAAGGGACATCTAAATGCAGGAGATAATGTGGTGTTGCTCTATCCACCTGGTAAGCATTGGATTGGTAGACTAGACTTTAAGCTCCAATACTAGACTGACTACAAATTATAAGAGGATAGGCACTCAGGGCCGCTCTCTATGACGTGCAGGCAGTGTACTTCCCAACACTTAGAAGACCATGCACACAGGCCGAAGTGGGAACCAAGCCTCACCCCCCAAGTTGTGCAGTACAGTGGCTCTCCTGGGACCATGTCTGTTTTTGCACCCTTATGTTTCTGTTAGTGCCTGGCACATAAAAGTCACTCAATAAATAATGAATGAATGAAGTCTTCAGCTGCTTGGCTTTTGGAAACTCTCAAAACAGATGCTTTGTTTCTGTGAATGTTCAGGAATGGGGCAATTTCACCCAGTCCCCAAAGAAATGTTGTGCGTGAATTCTGTGAACATTTTTCATATTATGATTGATGTTACTCAGGAGGAATAACTGCAGAAACCGGGAATGGTTAACTAGGAAAATAAAAGAATGGAGATAGGAGAGGTGAGCAAGCCCTGAGCTTTTAAAAAATATTTAGAAGGCTGCTCTATAAAGAGCAATCAGACCTCTTAGATGTTGTTGAAGGGATGTGAGTTTTTTTTTTTTTTTTTTTTTTTTTTTTTTTTTTTTTGAGACGGAGTCTCGCTCTATCACCCAGGCTGGAGTGCAGTGGCACGATCTCGGCTCACTGCAAGCTCCGCCTCCCGGGTTTACGCCATTCTCCTGCCTCAGCCTCCGGAGTAGCTGGAACTACAGGCGCCCGCCACCACGCCCGGCTAGTTTTTTGTATTTTTTAGTAGAGACGGGGTTTCACCGTGTTAGCCAGGATGGTCTCGATCTCCTGACCTCGTGATCCGCCCGTCTCGGCCTCCCAAAGTGCTGGGATTACAGGCTTGAGCCACCGCGCCCGGCCTGGGATGTGAGTTTTCATATTATGATTTAGTCTTCTTTTGTTATTGCTACTTTCATGTTCTGATTTAATTCAACAACCTTGTCTTCATAGTAAGAGGGGTTCAGAATTATTTGGCATAAAGATTCAAAATTCTGGGTGAAATATTTGAGTCTTCCCTTCGTTATTTCTGTCACCTAATCCACTCATACATCCAGCTTTTTTTGGCCTGTTATCCCCCCACACTTCATATTGTTCTGTGATTTTTTTGTTTATTTTATTTTTAAGACGGAGTCTCGCTCTGCCACTCAGGCTGGAGTGCAGTGGCGTGATCCCAGCCCACTGCAACCTCTGCCTCCCTGGTTCCAGTGATTCTCCTGCCTCAACCTCCTGGGTAGCTGGGATTACAGGCACCCGCCACCATGCCCAGCTAATTTTTGTATTTTTAGTAGAGATGGGGTTTCAGCATGTTGGCCAGGCTCGTCTCAAACTCCTGACCTCAGGTGATCCACCTGCCCCAACCTTCCAAAGTGCTGGGATTATAGGTGTGCGCCACAAGGCCTGGCTCATTCTGTGATTCTTATGCGCTGCCTTATTTACCTAGATACTGAGATTTCATAGAAGATCACGTGATAGAGCAGTCCCCGCTATTGTATGCCCAGGAGATGGCCTTTCACCTGTCAGTTGGCGAGAGGCCACGGGGAAGGACCTGAGCTCTTCCTAAGGAGGCCTCTGCCCAAAGTCGTCCTCAGACTGAGTCATACTTTGCTCCCTAAAACTCACACCCCTTCAACAACATCTAAGAAGTCTGATTGTTCTTTTTAGAGCAGCCTTCTAAATATTTTTTAAAAGCTCAGGGCTTCCTCACCTCTCCTTTCTCCATTCTTTTATTTTCCTAATTAACCATTCCTGGTTTCTCCAGTTACTTCTCCTGAGTAATATAAAGTAATAATATCAATATACCTTCTTCACAAATATTTCAGGAGTTTACTTCTGATTTCCTTCCTTTTTTGTTAATTGTTTTCTCTATATTTTCTAAAGTTTTATATGCTTCCTTCTTTCACTTTCAATATCTTCTGCTAGAGTCTCTGTTAAATTATGGTCTACAGAACCTGTCTTGCACATGATTTAACCGTTTTGGAAAATTTGCCTTTTAGTTTCTCAGTGCTCTTAGGCAGTTCAGTGCCTCTCCTGACAGGGTCTTTTTGTCTTGCAGGCATTGAGTTAATCGCTGCCTTCTATGGCTGCCTGTATGCGGGCTGTATACCTGTGACGGTCAGACCTCCACATGCTCAGAACCTCACGGCCACACTGCCCACTGTCCGAATGATTGTTGATGTAAGTACCAGCTGTATCTTGCCTTGTCCTCATCTCCTAAAATCCAGATTCAGACAGCTAAGGATCCTTACTAATTTTCCAATTTTGTTAAGTCAGGAATTCAAATTTGTCTCCTGGAAACTACTTCCTTTTTGTTAGTCAAGCCAAAACAACCATCATTATTCAGCGAAGGAACTGGGGGAAAGTGGTTATTGGTGAGATGCAGAATTGTATGCAGTTATCATGAACATTAAGGAGGTGAAGCAGCCGTTAGTATTTCTCCAACAAAAACACAAAAAGTAGCCAGGCATTGTGGCACATGCCTGTAGTCGCAGCTACTCAGGAGGCTGAGGCAGGAGGATCCCTTGAGTCTGGGAGGTGGAGGTTAGACGTGAGCTGAGATTACACCACCGCACTACAGCCTGAGCAGACCCTGTCTCAAAAAAAAAAAAAAAAAAAAGTTTCCCCCTCCCCTTCTGTCTAAAATGTGATGTCTGATATTTTTCCTGCTAAATTATCTGGGTGATTTTAAATGCCAAACTGAATTAACCGTGGTGTCAGGTCACTTCTATTTTAGTTACTTTTGTGAATTTACTTGGTGTAGCATTAAAAGGTGTCCAGACCTTACTCTGGAGATGATAGAAGTCTTTATAGGATATGAGAGTTAAAGAAAATAAGGTAAGTGTGTATTGCATCAGATCCTAGTGTTTACAGCAAGGGGAAGCCTTGGCCAGTGCTGATAGATTACAAAATTCCAGTTCATGTAGCATTTGCTTCTCTAAGAACTGCTGCTTTGTCAGCAAAAAAGGAGCCCACGGTATAAAAGCCATGATCACCATAGATGATTTTATTACAAAGTGTAATTCAGCAAAATGCCCTTGTTATATTCTACAAAGTGGGCCAGAAAAGCAGGGAGGGGAGTTGCTGTTGATGCAGTTCGTGGGCAAAGTAGGTCACTTTGCATTTCTGTGTATAGCTGAGCAAGAGAACCTAGTTTCTATGAGAGCTTATATCAGCATCGGGGTTCCTTAGGTTCAGCGTATGGTCTAGGTGTAGTAAGTCTCGTTATTCACTAGAGACTGGGGCAGTTTCCTTCAAACATGGTTATCTGATTCTTCTCATTTCCTGAGCACTACAAAATCCACATCTTTATTTAATTGTGGTCTTTATGAAATCATGGGATTGTGGGATCCATACTGAGATTATAATTATGAAATATTTTGAGAATCACTATTATAAACAATACAGTGTACAGGATGAATACAGGATGAACAGGTCCATCATCCTGAGAGAGTTAAATGTCACACATTTCCAGAAGGAAACATGCAAGGGAGTAAACTGACCTCATCTGTTCCACATGTGTTCTTTAAAACTGTCCTGTCCAGTGTAGTACATGAGTGGCTTTTAGCAGCAGCCAGGGCCTGTGGTGCCGTGTTGGGGCTGAACCTCCTGATGCTTATTGTTGTCCATTTGTTTTCTAGGTCAGCAAAGCAGCCTGTATTCTCACCGGTCAGACCCTAATGCGGCTACTGAGGTCCCGAGAGGCAGCAGCAGCAGTGGATGTGAAAACCTGGCCAACCATCATTGACACAGGTGAAAGGGAGACTTCTCCTGAGGGTGGAGGGAGTGAGAGCTCACAATACCTGAGATCTCGTCTCTTCTCATGCCAGACTTGTTAACCCTGCCTTTATGTCTTCTGCCTGCTAAGACAGAGGCAAAACCTAGCATCAGTAAGCTTGTGCAGGACTAAACACTGACAGCAGATGCAAAGGGCGAGATCACAGTCTGCTAAGAGCTCTCTAAACAAAAGTGTTTTGCTGTTACTCTTGGCATCATCAAAAGGTGGTTAGGTTTTTATGCTACATGTAACTATGTATATGTAGGGCCAAGTGAAATATTGAGACAATCTGATCCTTTTGTTCGAGATGTGATATTGTTGAAATAATACTGGACTGGGAGTCAGATGATTTGGGTTCTGGTTCAAGCTTCATTACCTACTGCCTGTGTAATCTTGACTGAAATTACCCTTTCCTAAGCTACTGCCTACCCCTGCCTGACTTGTATATTTATTGAGAAGATAAAATGCAGTGTAATATGAAAATACTATACTTTGAAAGCCATAAAGTGCAAAATTTTTAGATAGTATTCATATTAAAGAAGGGGGTAAGATAAGGGAATAGCTGAAAAAGCTGTGGTATAGGAAGAATGTGGGTTTTGGAGTCAGGCAGGTAGGGTTTAAGTCCTGCTATATCTGCTACTCTCTGAGTATCCTTACTAACCCGTCTATAAAGTGGGAGTTGTAAAGATTAAATGATGTAATGCAAAGCTCCTAGCATGTAATCATAATGATAACATCTAACCTTCATTGAGCCGTTATGTCAGTCATTTAATGTGTTATATGCTTTTATCCTTACCCTATAAGTTGTTATTTTTATCCTCATTTTGCAGATTAGAAAACTGAGGGAAGTTAAATAAGCAGCAGAACTGAAATTCAAATCCAGCCAGTTTGGCTCCATTCCCAGCCTCTTAACCATTAATGTCCTCCCTACCCTTTTTTTAAAAAAAAAAAACTGGATTCAAATGCAGGAATGACATGTATTTGTGGTTATTGTGTACCAGATGCCGAACTGGGTTTTTAAAATATTTATTACTGAAGGATAGAAGCACAATTGTATATATATGTATCACAAATGGATTGTGTTGGTGTTAATGATGCTGGTAGGTCTATGGTTAATGGGCTGAATCACAACAGGAAGGTTTCTTTAGGCACTTGAGTGGTCATATGAGTGACCCTTCCCTGCATAAAGGGAGGTCAAAGGTGATAGTCTTTCATTTGACCAGAAATGGGTGCCCCATGATTTGGTGATTTAAAACTCACAGTTAGACGTCCTTCTTGATCCAGAAAGCCAAAGGAGCCATTGAAGAGGTATAGCTGGAGCCAAAGGACATCTCTGACATCTCTAGTTTTAGCATACGTATAAAGCACATGGGGGGAAGTGGAGGAGGTATCATAAATGAGTGAAAGCAGTGAATTACTAGTTCTTGGCTACCATTCTCTTTTGGAGACAGAGCCCTCACTCTGTCACCCAGGCTGGAATGCAGGGCCGCGATCTCGGCTCACTGCAGCCTCCACCTCCCAGGTTCAAGGAATTCTCCTGCCTCAGCCTCCCGAATAGCTGAGATTACAGGTATGAACCACCATGCCTGGTTAATTTTTGTATTTTTAGTAGAGACAGGGGTCGCCATGTTGGCCAGGCTGGTCTCGAACCCCAGTCCTCAAAGTGATCCACCTGCCTCGGCCTCCCAAAGTGCTAGGATTACAAGTGTGAGCCGCTGTGCCTAGCCACCGTTTTTTTTTTTTTAAAGAGACATGATCTTGATATGTTGCCCAGGTTGGTCTCAAACTCCTGGGTTCACACAGTCCTCCTGCCTCAGCCTCCCAAGTAGCTGGGACTATAGGCCTGAGTCACTGCACCCAGATAGATTACTATTCTTAAAATTCTGCCAGCTTAACCAGGCGCCATGGCTCATGCTTGTAATGCCAGCACTTTGGGAGGCTGAGGCAGGAGGATCACTTGAGCTCAGGAGTTGGAGACTAGCCTGGGCAATATAGTGAGACCTCACCGCTAGAAAAAAAAAAAAAATTTTTTTAATTTAGCTAGGCATGGTGGCATAGATCTGTAGTCCCAGCTATTCAGGAGGCTGAGGTGGGAGGATCATTTGAGCCCAGCAGATGGAGGTTGTAGTGACCCGAGATCAAGCTACTGTATTCCCACCTGGGCAATAGAGCAAGACTCTGTCTTTAGAAAAAAAAAATCTGCTAAGTTAACTTAGAGAAATACTTCCCAACTTTTAAATCCATACATGATTAATATAACACATACTAAAGTGTAAATAATGAACTTTAACTTGAAACCAGCATAACAGCTAATGCTTTTTAAGCATTTCTTCAGTAGGTTGCTTTAAAAGTGCTTTATGTGAATTAACTTCCCAACAGTTCTATGAGAGTAGGTATTATTTTAGAGATTCGTTTTAGAGAAGAAGAGAACAGCCACAAAGAGGTGAAATAACTCCAGGGTCATGTAGCTGATGCTAGAGCTGGCATTTGAACAGCAGTCTGCTTCCTACTGTGTTCTATTTCCCCTTACTAAGCTGCTAGCAGATACATTTACCTGATGTAGATTTGCTTGCCTGGGTTGTCCAGTGTTGTCCTCAACCCCAGCCTACCTCTGAGAATGACATATGTGAGCTACTTGGTTAAATAGGAGAAGCCTAAGCTTTAGCAAATCCCCAAAGCTAAATTTGGCCATAGCAAAGCCACAGAAAACCAGTTGAAGAGCAATGATTTTCATGTTCCCGCATGTTGGATTGACATCAGGTTTTTTTCTTTTCATGGCAGATGATTTACCCAGGAAAAGGTTACCTCAGCTGTATAAACCACCCACTCCTGAGATGTTGGCATATCTTGATTTTAGTGTCTCCACAACTGGCATGCTTACAGGAGTGAAGGTAAGCTGCATGCTGGAAAAATGCCACGTCTGCCAAAAACTAGAGATGACCACTGCCCCAGAAACTTTAGACGCAGAGGCTAAGTGGTTGTACCAGAGACTAGTAGGCAGAGTGAGGATCAAGGGTCGCTGCTCTATTTAAATAAAGGCATTGGCTCCTCTGGAATGAGTTATCGCAAGGAATTTGTATTAAGTGTCTGAACCTAGCATTGAAGCTGAAAGATAAGAGTTTGTTAAAATATGTATGAAATCTGATATTTAGATATCATAAAATTCAGTATTAGATTGGGCGCAGTGGCTCACGCCTGTTATCCCAGCTCCTTCGGCGGCCAAGGCGGGCAGATCACCTGAAGTCTGGAGTTCGAGACCAGCCTGAACAACATGGAAAACCCCTTCTCTACTAAAAATAGAAAATTAGCTGGGCGTGGTGGTGCATGTCTGTAATCCCAGCTACTTGGGAGGCTGAGGTTGCGGTGAGCTGAGATCGTGCCATTGCACCACAACCTGGACAACAGGAGCGAAACTCCGTCTTAAAAAAAAAAAAATTATTATTAACTAATGAACAGAAATATGTTCCCTTCCTTAATGGAGACTTAGGTTAGGCTTTGAAGCGCTAAAAATTATACATTGTTTTGAGGAGTTTAGGGAATTGAAACTCCTCAAAGCTGTCGTCAGAGCTGTTTTGCTGCCTGTGGGATGACAGTTCCAGCCTGTTCCATTTTCCATACTTTGCAGATGTCCCACTCTGCAGTGAACGCTCTGTGTCGAGCCATCAAGCTCCAGTGTGAGTTGTACTCTTCTCGGCAGATCGCCATCTGCCTTGACCCTTACTGTGGACTTGGCTTCGCGCTCTGGTGTCTCTGCAGGTAGGGATGGAAAAGCCAAGGAGACAGAATGTGTGGGGGTGTACTTTATGGCCATGACCATCTCATCCTTTCCTTTGCTCCCTTAATTTGGTAAAGTTTCAGTAAAATGCTAGTGTTTTCAGAATTTATGGATCTACTGTGTCTGTGAAGTTTGTTTAAAAACAGTTTGTCTGTATTCCCTTTGTTATTTTCTGTTAATTTTATTCTTCATACAAAATGGCAGTGATCCTGTTACTTGCGCTCTTCTCCACCATGTAATCCTTGCTTTAGAAGCAAAGCCAAGTAGAATGATGATTCTCGGGTGAAATATGTCATGCTTTGACAGCCAGCATGTACCCCCTAGGCTTGGCAGGAAGGAGCACAGTGGGATGGGATGACAGCATGTGGATGGAAAGTAGCACGTTTGCCCTGGCCAAGTTGCTCCTTGCGGAATACAGATCCCAGCTCCTCTCACCACTCCCCCAGAGAACCTCATCTCAGACCTGCATTTTCATCTCCTTGGTGTACATCATGAATGCTTCATAGATGCCTGCAGCTCAACGTTCTCCTCCTGTTCTCTCTTTGTTAGGGTAGGATCATCCATATAGGGGCCCACACTAGAAACATGGGTCTTGTCTTCAGATTCTATATCTTCATGTCTTGTGTCTAATCAAATGTATGTCCTTTGGCTTGGTTGTTCTACACCTATATGTACATAAGAATCACCTGGGGGTCTTTCAACAAAAATTAATGGGACTCCCCAAGACTTATTAATCTTCATCTCCAGAGGTGGTGACCACACCACCAGTATTTTGAAATACAGGATTCCTGAGCTTCTAGTGATTCTGATCTGTAAACAGGTTTAGGCATAAAATCACTGCCATTTTGTATGAGCCAAGAGTTTAAGCTTTGTGGCTATAGAAGAGACATGATAGGAACCCTGTTCCTTCCTTTTTTTTATTCTAAAAAAAAAAAAAAACTATTGTGTTGATAGTTCTTCCTGTTGATGGACTGAATATGGATATGAGGATCCATATTTCCTTTCTGTCCTTTCTTCTTTTCTTTCTTTTTTTTTTTTTCTGTTTTTTGTTTTGTTTTGTTTTGTTTTGTTTTTTCTTTTTTTTTTTTTTTTTTTGAGACAGAGTCTTGCTCTGTCGCCCAGGCTGGAGTGCAGTGGTCAGATCTCAGCTCACTGCAAGCTCCGCCTCCTGGGTTTACGCCATTCTCCTGCCTCAGCTTCCCGAGTAGCTGGGACTATAGACGCCCACCACTGCGCCCGGCTAGTTGTTTTTTGTATTTTTTAGTAGAGACGGGGTTTCACCGTGTTAGCCAGGATGGTCTCAATCTCCTGACCTCGGCCCGTCTCGGCCTCCCAAAGTGCCGGGATTACAGGCTTGAGCCACCGCGCCCGGCCTGTTTTATTTTTTTTTTTTGAGTCAGTGTCTTGCTCTGTTGCCCAGGCTGGAGTGCAGTGGTGCAATCTCAGCTCACTGCAACCTCCACCTCCCAAGCTCAAGCGATCCTTCCACCTCAGCCTCCTGAGTAGCTGAGAGTACAGGTGCACACCACCACACCCAGCTAATTTTTTAGTAGAGACAGCATTTTGCCATGTTGCCCAGGCTGGTCTCGAACTCCTGGACTCAGGCAGTCCACCTACCTTGACCTCCCAAAGTAGTGGGATTATAGGTGTGAGCCACCACGTCCAGCCCCATTCCTTCTTTTTTATCCTGGGCTACACTGTTGGGTTCAAGCCTGTATCACCTCTCACCTGAACTATTGCAGCCTCTCCTGTCTCTCAACTTTCAGTGGCTTGTATCACCAATCCCTACTCCATATGTCCATATTGTCAGTGTTGCCCCAACTTAAAGTTACAATGACTGCCTGCTGGGTGAAGTATAAACTCCTTCATATGATGGTTAAGCCCTGTCACAGTTTGGCCTTAGCCCTTCGGGCCTTACTCCTCTGTGCACCCTGTGTGCTAGAATTTCAGTTGAATGCTCGCTCTCTTTTTTTTTTTTTTTTTTTAGGAGACAGGGTCTCAATCTGTCGCCCAGTCTGAAGTGCAGTGGCACAGTCACAGCTCACTGCAGCCTCTTGGGCTCAAGTGATCCTCCCACCTCAGCCTCCCAAGTAGCTGGGACTATAGGTGTGTGCCACCACGCCTGGCTAATTGTTTAAAAAGCTTTTTTGTAGAGGCATGAGTTTTGCTTTATTACCCAGGCTGGTCTTCAACTTCTGGGCTCCAGCAATCCTCCCATCATGGCCTCCCAGAGTACTGGGATTACAGGCATAAGCCACCGTGCCCGGCCACTTGAATACTAATAATATTTCTGATGGCTTCAAACATGCTGTACTTATCAGCCTTTGTATATGTTGTTCCTCTGCCTAGAACACCCTCACTACTGTCCCCACTTCTTCTGGCCACTGTCAAATTCATATTCATTCTTCAAGCTCCAGCTCAAGCGTCACCAGCTCAGTGAAGCACTACCACTCCCTCACCCTGCCTTATCGAGCTTGAATGAATTGCTGTTTATTCTGTGATCTCAATGTTCTTGATTTACATCTCATATTCAGAGCATCAATAAAATGGCTATTAACATCTTTAAAAGAAACCATGGGAGTAAAATCCAGTCCACACATAAGGTTTCTGAAGAAAAAGAGGAAAAAATGCTACTCCATCGGGGTTTTAAAGATTAGTTATTAGGAATTACCTTTCCAGAATATTTAGTATCATCTTGACCATATTAATTAGCTGTAAGAATGTTATGTAGACTAAAGCAACCTACCACAGTCTGCTTTATTTCATAGTTGCTCCTCTTGCGAGTTGTATAGGAACAAGACTGATTCTTAGAGCTTTACATCTCATATGTCCCTACACTGTCCTTTACACTCGGTAAATATCTGTGGAATTGGTGGGGTTCTGAAGTATCAGGTGTCGAGGATGAACTGATGATTCCAGCTGTTGTCTATTTCACTGCAGTGTCTATTCAGGCCACCAGTCTGTCTTAATTCCTCCTATGGAGTTAGAGAACAACCTTTTCCTCTGGCTCGCCACGGTCAACCAGTACAAAATAAGGGACACTTTCTGCTCCTATTCAGTGATGGAGCTCTGCACCAAAGGACTTGGCAACCAAGTGGAAGTGCTAAAGGTAAGAAGCAGCTCCAGCAGGTGGGCAGTCCCAAAAGGTTTTGAAGAAATGAGCCAGGACATAATAGAGCCAGAGCAGGGCCTAATAGACATGTTTGCTTGCCTTTTTCAAGTCACTCAGTTTAAAACGGGTGTATTGTAAACCTTGGCAAGTTTATCTCTTCCACCTTCCTAATTTAGTGCACTCTTTCACAGTTTAATATGATTCTTACTTTGTGGACTAGAAGGGGGAACTGGTTGGGAGGCTAACTGGAAAGACTTTATATAAACATAAAAGGGAACTGTGGCTTCCAATACTTTTCCTAATAGAATTTGAAACCTCAAAATATTAAGAATTCAGAATATCCCCAAAGATAAGGGTAACTCATTCATTCATGTGTATGTCGAATGATGATCTGTCTGACTGGCATATGAGAAAGTCAGAAAATACTGAATTTTCTTTGATAGAAAAATTTGATCTTTGGAATGCATAGAGACAAGAGATTAGATCGCCAGAGTTCTAGATTAATTTTTCTCTCAGTCCCATCAAATATGGGGACATCTAAGGTACAGAAACGAGGAGGGATAAAAAAGTCTGCTGAAGAGCCTTAGATTTTTAGAAGAAAGAGGAAGGAACTAGAGAATGAGTGAATTTACCAGCAGATAGTGATTTTAATGGGATGCCTTGGCCGTTTCTTCTTTTCTGAAAGCTACTTTTCTCTGTATGCCTGAGGTGAGAATACACAATTACTTGGCTTTTCCTGACCAAGGAGCTAGAACAGTGGCCTTACCTGTTCGGTTATTTTATGATCCTACTGACTTGATTCCCACATAATGGTGTCTTGCAGACCAGAGGGATCAACCTCTCCTGCGTCCGGACCTGTGTGGTGGTGGCGGAGGAGCGGCCCCGCGTTGCACTCCAGCAGTCCTTCTCCAAGCTCTTCAAAGACATCGGGCTGTCCCCGCGGGCTGTCAGCACCACTTTTGGATCAAGAGTCAATGTAGCAATATGTTTACAGGTGACCCTCATGACATCTTGTCTGCTCACAAACAGGAGAGCAATGTGGAGTATCCCAGAGCATGGGCTTTGGAGCCAGTCTGCCTGGGCTTGGGCCTCAGCCACGCTTACTTGCTTTAGAACTTTGGGCTTTTTAATCTCGATTTCTTTGTGTCTCATTTTGCTCACCTGTAAAGTGAAGGTAGCAGTACTGTGCTTCTCCAGGCAGCTCTGCACAATCACTGAGCTGCCAGCTCGGAGCTCTTGGAACAGTGCTAGCAGTGAGCACGTGTTAGTGTTTATTTGAGTCGCTGTCATGTGGTCATGATTATGAGTCACAAAGATTTGAGTCCTATTTGGATTTCACTTGTATCTGACCTGTTTTTCCTTTTTCTTTTTTTTTTTATTTGAGATGGAGCCTTGCTCTGTCACCCCGGCTGGAGTGCAGTGGCGCAATCTCAGTTCACTGCAACCTCCGCCTTCTGGGTTCAAGCGGTTCTCTCACCTCAGCCTCCCGAGTAGCTGGGGTTACAGGCGTGCACCACCACGCCTGGCTATTTTTTGTATTTTTAGTAGAGACAGGGTTTCACCCTGTTGGCCAAGCTGGTCTCAAACTCCTGACCTCAAGTGATCCAGCCACCTCAGCCTCCCAAAGTGCTGGGATTACAGACATGAGCCACCGTGCCCGGTCTGACGTTCTGTTTTTCTGTCTCTATATTCTATACCATTTTTTTTTTCTGTTTCTTTTTTTTTTTTGAGACAGAGTCTCGCTCTGTCGCCCAGGCTGGAGTGCAGTGGCGCGATCTCGGCTCACTGCAAGCTCCGCCTCCCGGGTTTACGCCATTCTCCTGCCTCAGCCTCCCGAGTAGCTGGGACTACAGGCGCCTGCCACCTCGCCCGGCTAGTTTTTTGTATTTTTTAGTAGATACGAGGTTTCACCGTGTTAGCCAGGATGGTCTTGATCTCCTGACCTCGTGATCCGCCCGTCTCGGCCTCCCAAAGTGCTGGGATTACAGGCTTGAGCCACCGCGCCCGGCCTCTTTATTTTTATTTTTTTCAAACAATAACCTTGTATTCTCTTCTCCATCCAGATGGCAGCTTTGTCATGTTATTCTTGATAGGTAAATAACAGAAAAGGGACTAGAACTGAGACTTAATTTTATGTATTAATAGCTAATAAAGCAAATATAGGGCCAAGTGTGTTCATACCTATAATCCCAGCACTTTGTGAGGCCAAGGCAGGAGGATTGCTTGAGCCCTGAAGTTTGAGACCAGCCTGGGCAACATAGTTGAGACCTCATCTCTCCCCTACCCCCACCACCCACCCGCAAAAAAAAATAGCTGGGCTTGGTGGTACATGCCTCTAGTCCCAGCTACCTGGAAGTCTGAGGCAGGGGGATTGCTTGAGCCCAGGAAGTTGAGGCTGCAGTGAGCTGTGATTGTACTGCTGCACTCCAGCAGCCTGGGTGGCAGATTGAGACCCTGTTTCTTTGATAAGGCAAATATAGGCACAGACAAAAGTGAGTGAAAGAAGATAGCACACATGGGTGGATTATTTCAGGTCTTCTGTGACCTTCTTCTTTCAGAAGGGTCTTGATGGTTTAACCTTGAGCCCCATCATAATAGCCCTCTTGCTGTCACCGTGGCCAATATTGGTTTTGCAAGTCCCTGGATTGCCGACCTGTCTCACCTCTGCTTTGAATCCAGGGATGAAAGCCCTCCTCAGCATGGAAACGTTTCAGTGCTGCCACAGTCCCCATGATAAGAGTGAGAGCAGTGGGCCTAGGAGGCCACTCTCCAAGGGAGGAGAGGCAAAAAGAGTGTGGATTTTTCATGTATATGGCTAAATTGTTTTCGTTTGAAAATGTGACATACAGTTTATCGAAATTCTAAACAATGCATTGATTTGTCTTTCTTTAGGGAACCTCAGGGCCTGATCCGACTACTGTGTATGTGGATCTGAAATCACTAAGACATGACAGGTACAACAGATTTATTAATGCTCCTTTCCTACTAGTTCCTAACCATAACAAATTCGGAACCTGAGAGCCAGCATTTTCCCTCATTCCTTTTGTTCATATCTTCCAGGAGGGGAATGGGAAGAGGGAAGGGATTTGTTTTTATCATTAATACATAAGATTTACATTTATAAGAAAGCTTTAATTCTCTCAGTTGCTACACTGTTCTTTAATATTAAAGTATAATAGTTATTGCCCATATAAAAGTATTTTGTGACATTTGATATAAATTAAACTAAAATGGATAGTCTCTTTCCTCTAAGAGTTTAAAAATAATAGGACAGATAAGATAAATGAGTCAGAGTAGGGTTTTTGAAACAATACTTTATCTGAGCCTCATGGGTAAAAGCCTGCCTCCTTAGCCCAGAAGGGAATTATAGCTGTGTCCCAAGGTGAGCACTGGCCCAGGGCTCCAAGACCTCTCTTCCCAAGCCCCACCCCCCTGGGTGTGTGATCTGGAGTGCTCCACTGCACTGACCTAGACCGCATAGGTAGAGCATCTCTCTCATGCAGCAGTTTGAAACCTGGGAAGATTTTGCCACCCTACTGGAGATTTGACAATGTCTGGAAACATTTTGGGTTGTCATAAAAGGGGACTTGCTACTGACATCTAGTGGGCAGAGGCCAGAGGTGTTGCTAAACACTCTACAATGCACAGAATAGCCCCTTTCAACAAAAAATTATCTGGCCAAAATGTTAGTAGTGCTGAGTTTGAGAAACCCTGCTGTAGTGTGAGGAAGAGAGACAAGTTAGAGGTCGTGGGAAGGCAGCACTGAGCTGCAGGAATATGGCGACTTCTCTTCTTAAAAGCCCTATATACAGTAAATACCGTTCTTCTGCAGGGTTCGTCTTGTGGAACGCGGCGCCCCTCAGAGTTTGCTTCTCTCGGAGTCTGGAAAGGTAATTTGTTCTGTTGACCATAGGGAAGGTGGGCTGTGTGGAGAAGTGGTTCAGTTTAAAGAAACCAGAAGCCATATGATATATTAGTGTCCAGGGCAAGCCTTAATTGAAATCTGGAGATAATTTCAGCTTAGCTAATACTTTCAAATTCATATGGGTACATAGATAAGAAGAACAGTAAATTTGAACTCTCTTAATTTCCATCAATTTTTAAAAGTCCAACTGATATGTTATTCATATTGATAGACCAGCAAAATGCAGTGCTCATTGTATTGTATGAAAGGTGGATAGAAGAGCTGGTTCTGTTTTGGTTTCGTTTTTGTCTTTTTTGGAGATGGAGTCTCACTCTGCCACCCAGGCTAGAGTGCAGTGGCGCGATCTCAGCTCACTGCAACCTCTGCCTCCCAGGTTCAAGGAGAACTTGCCTCAGCCTCCAAGTAGCTGGGGTTACAGGCACCTGCCCCCAGGTCCAGCTAATTTTTTTTTTTTTTTGAGACAGAGTCTCGCTCTGTGCCCCAGGCTGGAGTGCAGTGGCGCGATCTCGGCTCACTGCAAGCTCTGCCTCCCGGGTTCACGGCGTTCTCCTGCCTCAGCCTCCTGAGTAGCTGGGACTACAGGCGCCCGCCACTGCGCCCGGCTAATTTTTTGTATTTTTAATAGAGACGGGGTTTCACTGTGGTCTCGATCTCCTGACCTTGTGATCCGCCCACCTCGGCCTCCCAAAGTGCTGGGATTACAGACGTGAGCCACCGCGCCCGGCCGGTCCAGCTAATTTTTGTGTTTTTAGTAAAGAAGGGGTTTCACCATGTTGGCCAGGCTGGTCTCGAATTCCTGACCTCAGGTGATCACCTGCCTCAGCCTCCCGAAGTGCTGGGATTACAGGCATGAGCCACTGTGCCCATCTCAGTTCTGTCTTACAAATGTCACAAGGAGAAAGCTAGGAGAGGCCGACATGGGAGTGTGGTTTCAGGTCAGGGAAGACACACATGCATTTAAAGTTGAAAAAAAAAATGGGGATGAGATTAAAGATATTTGAGAGAGTTAACATCTATGGGAGTAAGATTTCTTAGATTAGAATGAGGCTATAAAACGTCAAAAGAGAGATTTAGTGAGAAGCAGTTTACTAAGAATGATAGGAAACCCACATGCATTATCAAGACAAGTGGGAATTTCTCTGCCCTTTGACGAGATAATGATGATACCTCAGAATCCTGTCTAGTAATTCTGAAGGGCAGAGAAAAAACCGTGAAGGGAAAAAAAAATCCCTGCCAAACCTACTTGGTGGTATATCTCCCCATGGGGCGCTTACTCCAGTCTCACTCTCCGTTTGCATCTGCCGGGGTGGGGTTTTGGCTGATTTTGTCACTGCCTTGTCACATCTTCACTTGCCTCAGCAGCCAAGCACGCCTCATGAGCATTAGCCTGTGCCCGCCCTGGACTAAGGGAACTGTCTAGTCTCTTCCTTGAGGTTTTAGATGTTTGCACCCAGATAATGATTGAGGGCTTCTTGAGTAACCTCATACTTTAGAAACCCAAGATAAAAAGGGAGTTCGAAGGGGGCAGAATATGGGTAACCAGAGAGGCCCTTCTTTTTGTTAGAATGGCTGAGCCATTCCCTCAGCCAGTATATGTGTCTTCCTTTTCCTTCCTGAGGAAGATCCTGGGGTTGTGGATATCCTTCTGTCCTGCAAAGCTGCTGCTGTCCTCTCTCACTCTTCATGTTCCTCCAACTCTAGCAACAGCTGGAGTCTGGAGTAGAGTCACTCAGGCTGTCCCTGCCTGCTGCCCTTTCTGTTTTAAAGGGTTTCACTGCCATCATTCCAGTGAATGAGAAAGAGCATGAAAAAGGAAAGGTTATTCTACAAATTCTATTGTGAAGGTCCCGATCTGCAGTTTCTCATCCCTTTGAAGAGATGGCAAACTGGCTCCCATTTTATTTTTGAGGCTGAGTTTTATTAGACCTTTGGTCTTCAATGAACTAGGAAGGTTCAGTGAGAACAAAACACAAGGTCTCTGCCATGGTCCCCTCAGGGTAGCTGCTGTGATGCCGTTGCAGCTGGCTCCCGCCCTGTGTGCCTCGCGCACCTCTCCGGCAGGTAACTAACTGTGTGTTTCCTGGAGGTCATTAGATTTCACTGAACCCAATCTTTGTATTTTCCCTTTGATTCTTAGATTTTACCTGGAGTGAAAGTGGTTATTGTTAATCCTGAGACCAAAGGGCCAGTTGGAGACTCTCACCTTGGAGAGGTTTGTAATAATTTTAATTTTTACTCTGAAAAGTCAGCAGTAAAAATCTCTAGGGTTCACATTTTAGAAATCAGTAAAACTGTGGATTTAGCTTTCCCCTGTTGTGAGTAGAGTTAATTTTTTTCTGTAAGGCATGAGACTGAAACTGACAGAAGAGGGAGATTGAAACTGGGATCCAGGGAAGATTTAGGCACCCAAACTGGAAATAGTGCCAGATTTGTCCACTGACATGCCCTTAGCTAGAAAGGAAAGTGAGCAAATCCTATATGTTCCCATCTATTAAGGTATGAAACTGAAAGGAGTCACATATTTACACATTTTTAAGGTCAGTCAGATGTTATATTATATTCTAAAATGTATCCATGTTTGCATTAAAAAAAATATATAGGCCCAGCCCTTTAACAAAAAATATTTACATATAAATACATATTACTTATATATATAAAAATTAACTATATAAAATAGTTTTTTTTTTTCTGAGACAGGGTGTTGCTCTGTCACCCAGGCTGTAATGCAGTGGTGCCATCTTGGCTCCCTGCAACCTCCGTCTCCCCAGTTCAAGTGATTCTCCTGCCTCAGCCTCTTGTGTAGCTGGGATTACAGGTGTACACCACCATGCCTGGCTAATTTTGTATTTTTAGTAGAGATGGGGTTTCACCATGTTGGCCAGGCTGGTCTTGAACTCCTGACCTCAAGTGATCCACCCACCTTGGCCTCCCAAAGTGTTGGGATTACAAGTGTGAGCCACCACGCCCAGCCTATTTTAAAAAGCTTTAAATGTTAATAGTAGCACCTACCTCACCTCCTGAGTAGAATCATTATACAATTAAATGTATTAACGCCTGTATCTGTAATGTACATGGAACAGTGTCTGTCACATAATGATTCTCAGTAACATTATTGTTAGCTATTGCTATTTATATTATAAACTCAGACACCCCCTGGTGTTTCCCTGTGGGCTTCCACAGTTGCCCCAGAAGCACAGAAATGATCCCTGATGTGTTCGTGGGACTCTAGAGGAGGGTGAGAAATGAGCCAGGGAGGCAGGGTAGCCTTGTGGGTGAGAGCACAGCCTCGGGAGCCACAAGAGCATGGGTGCCAGTCTCCTCATTTCTGCATGTTAGGTGAATTAGTTAACTCCTTGTTTTTTCATCCGTAAAATGGGAACAACATTGTGTGAACTATGTTGTCATGTCATATATATCTGGATGGATGGAGGTTAGGTACATGATGAGCACCTGGTAAATGTCAGCTGCCTTTATTGATGCAGTTGTGGTGTTGTTAATATAAAAATGAGATTAAAAAAATCAAATCACCTGATCCAAGAGAATGAATACAGTTGTGTGTCCCCAGTGAGTTGTGACCAAAGCACTTTTCTTGTAGATTTGGGTGAACAGTCCCCATACAGCCAGCGGCTACTACACCATCTATGATAGTGAGACTCTTCAAGCTGATCATTTCAACACTCGCCTCAGCTTTGGAGATGCGGCTCAGACACTCTGGGCTCGGACAGGATACCTTGGTTTTGTCCGCCGGACTGAGCTCACAGCGGCCACTGGAGGTACTTGTGCAACTACTCCTCCCCATTGACCCTGCTTTGTGTTTCTGTAGCACTAGCTGACCTCCTTCAGCCTGCCTTGGATTGTGGAGTGTGTGTATCTAGTTACTCCCTTCTGTGACTCTTAAACCCATAAGTGACTCTCTCTTCATTCGGAGTCATGCTTTGCCCCATGAAGAGTGTCTAAGAGGTGAGCGCTTGGGGCGAGCCCAGGATCATCCCGAGCTGTGAGTCAGAGAGATGTGCCTGATGGCGAATGAGTGTCCCTGGCTAAACACAGACATTCAGTCCCTACGGGGCTGATTCCCCACCCAGGACAAGCATTACATCTTGTATCTCTTCTACCCTGCACACCACTTGGGGAGCAGGAGGAACGGCCCTATTCCCTGAAAGGGGCGTCAGTTCCAAGGAGCCATCTTGCTGAGGTATGGCAGTGCCTCGGTGTCTTGCATTGGACACAGCCTGCTTCCTGGCCAAGCCTCCGGTATAAGAATTCCCTCTCGTCACCCTCTGCCCAGTTGATTGTCACGGCTTCACTGCTGCCCACCATCACCCTTTCTTCCAGACTGGCACTTACAGCCATTTAAAAATACCCAACACTGACTATATCCTGCACTTGAAGAAGTGATATATATATAACCTGCTGGATTTTAAAGGCCTAAATTCTCCATAGTTCCATACTGACCAGCGTCCATAGTTCCCCAGATTTCATGGAGAGGCAGGGGCAACCCAGTGGAGCAGAGGGTGGTATCCCTGCCTGGTGCCCTGGTTTTAAGCCCACCTCTGCATTTGCTGGGTGACCTTGAGCAATCACTTAGCCTCTGTTTCCTACTTAGAAAATGGGGATGACTATGTTTCTTGCCTCATGGAAATGATGTGAGATTAAAGGACGTGATGCATTTAGATGCCAAGAATGGTGCCTGGCACACAGGAAGCACCCATTAGTCATTCACTGCTGTGTTTCTGTTGTTTTTGTCATCAGTCTTCATGAGCTCACCAGGTGATGGGAGCCTCTGCTGGACCTCCTGATCCTTTTCACTCCAACAGCTTAAATCACTTTGTTTTGCTGAATTTTTCAGAAAGCTGCCTTTTTCCAGAAATTACTGCAAAATCATCTTCCTTCTGTATCCTAGCTGGATTACAAGTTTGTTAGAAACGAGGACTAGTTTCCCCTATGTTCTACAACCCTCATCTTTATATCTGTATTCCATGAAGCTACCTAGAAAGAATGACACTCGTTCATCTCCTCTCCTTCTCAACTCCTCTCTTTCCTCCTCCCCTCCCCTCTGGCTGAGTCCTGTTTGTCCTTAAAAGCTCAGCTCTGCCCTCAGCTTTTCCAGGAGCCTACCTTGACCCTTTGAGCTGGACTCAGTGATGTCCTCTGCCCCTCCGAAACTCATGCACACTCCTGTCGCTGGGCTTGCTACATTACAACGGAATGCCTCTTTGTGTATCTTTTCCCCTGCCTCAGCTGTAAGAGTCTTCAGCGCAGGAATTGGGTTTTGTCAGCTTTGTCTCCCCAGCACATAACACAGTTCCTAACATGTAGTAATAATAATAGCTAATTTCTGGTATCATTTACAATATACCACATACCATATTAACTACTGTGCATGGATTGACTCACAAATCGTCACAGCAGCCATTGATTATTATTTCCATCTCACAGAAGGGCAGTAGGATTCAGAGCCTTAAGGAATTTGCCCAGAGTTGCACAGCTGGTAGGGGCAGAGCCAGGTGACAGGCAGTCTGACCCCTGTGCTCTGGACTCCAGTGTTATGTTACACTCAGTATATGTCCGAGCCACATTTCTCTCTTTTTCTTTCTGTCAGAGCGTCATGATGCATTGTATGTGGTGGGAGCGCTGGATGAAACACTGGAGCTGAGAGGATTACGATACCACCCGATTGATATTGAGACCTCGGTGTCCCGGATCCACAGAAGCATTGCTGAATGGTAACTCCCCCAGCATACACTGTGCTTCCCACTTCAGCTTTAGTCGTAATCTCAACTCATCTAATTAATTGGTCATTGGGACCACATACCTACCTTGAAACATAGAGCTCCATGAGAGGAGTAAGGAAATAGACTGATTCTTGTCTTGGGTGTGCAATCTGCTGTGGCCAACAAGGCCTATCCACAGGAGCCAGATGAGGCCATGAGGCCCCTAGGGAATACTCTGATACCTTCTGTGGAATGCTGGAACTGAGTCCTTTTTTAGTGATAGACTCTCATAATGGGAAGGGACTAACAGATCATTGATCTCTTGGAAGTCAGCATAATATGGTGGAAAGAACCAGCTTAAAGACTCTTCTCATCTGTAAAACACTCCCTCTGCTACTTTCTAATTATCAGAAGCATCAAATGAGAATGTGCTTTGTAAACTATTAAGTGGTAAGCAGATGAAAAGGGTAGTTGATATTATCTCATCCAGTTTCCTGCTCTTTGCAGGAATTTTACATTTTTCCTGGTAAAGGATCATCTAACCATGTATTGACTTAAAATCTGTAAAATTAAAACTGTGGTTTGGCCGGGCACAGTGGCTCACATCTGTAATCCCAGAACTTTGGGAGGCCAAGGTGGGCGGATCACTTAAGCCCAGGAATTCAAGACCATCGTGGGCAACATGGTAAAACCCCATCTCTGCAAAAAAAATTTTTTTAATTAGCCAGGTGTGGTGGCATGCCTGTAGTCCCAGCTACCCAGGAGGCTGAGGTGGGAGGATCACTTTAGCCTGGAAGGTTGAGGCTACAGTGAGCCAAGATTGTGCCACTGCACTCCAGCCCTGGTGACAGACTGAGACTGTCTCAAAAAAATAACAACAAAAAAAAAATCTCTGTAGTGTTTACCTATTGGCTTTCATTCTGGGTTCTTAACCAATACAGAATCTGTTTGGTTTGTTTTCTACATATTTTAGTGAATGTGTCCCCACTTTCCCCCATGCTAAACAGCCACAGTTCTTTCAATGGTTGCTCATGCTTTCCAGATACTTCTTTGTCTAAAGATGCTCTTGTTGGCCGGAAGTGGTGGCTCACGCCTGTAATCCCAGCACTTCGGGAGGCTGAGGTGGGTGGATCACCTGAGGTCAGGAGTTCAAGACCAGCCTGACCAACATGGCAAAGCCCTGTCTCTACTAAAAATACAAAAATTAGCTGGGTGCAGTGGTAGGCGCCTGTAATCCTAGCTGCTCGGGAGGCTGAGAATTGCTTGAACCTGGGAGGCGGAAGTTGCAGTGGGCCAAGATTGCGCCACTACACTCCAGCGTGGGCAACAGAGCGAAACTGTCTCAAAAAAAAGATGCTCTTGTCTTTGTCGGAGTCTCTCCCTAGACCTGAACAAGATTCTGACCAAGACAAGAACATCTTTAGACATCTGGAAAGCATCCAGAGAAGCTGGGTGCCGTGGTTACTTTGTCATTTTAGACATTTGACTCTTAATAGAACCAGATATTGTGTAATTGTGTACTTTTGTGGGGGTTTTTTTGTTTTTTTTGTTTTGTTTTGTTTTTTGAGACAGAGTTTCGCTCTTGTTGCCCAGGCTGGAGTGCGATGGTGCAATCTTGGCTCACTGCAACCTCCGCCTCCCAGGTTCAAGGGATTCTCCTGCCTTAGCTTCCCTAGTAGCTGGGATTATGGGTGTGCGCCACCACGCCCGGCTAATTTTGTATGTTTAGTAGAAAGGGGATTTCTCCATGTTGGTCAAGCTGGTCTTGAACTCCTGACCTCAGGTGATCCGCCCGCCTCGGCCTCCCAAAGTGCCGGGATTACAGGCATGAGTCACCACGCCTGGCCAATATCGTGTACTTTTTTAATTATTGGAATTTGTTTTTGTTTGTTTGTTTTTTTGTGAGACAGAGTCTCGCTCTGTCACCCAAGCTGGAGTGCAGTGGTGTGATCCCGGCTCACTACAACCTCTGCCTCCCGGGTTCAAGCGATTCTTCTGCCTCAGCCTCCCGGGTAGCTGGGACTACAGGCACGGCTAATTTTTGTATTTCTTAGTAGAGATGGGGTTTCACCATATTGGCCAGGCTGGTCTCGAACTCCTGACCTCATGATCTGCCCACCTCGGCCTCCCAAAGTGCTGGGATTACAGGCATGAGCCACCGCGCCCAGCTGGAATCTGTTTTTTAAAGCAGTTTAGGCCTGCATATCAAATCAGGCCCTACGTTCTTTTTTTTTTTTTTTTGAGACGGAGTCTTGCTCTATCGCCCAGGCTGGAGTGCAGTGGCCGGATCTCAGCTCACTGCAAGCTCCGCCTCCCGGGTTTACGCGATTCTCCTGCCTCAGCCTCCTGAGTAGCTGGGACTACAGGCACCCGCCACCTCGCCCAGCTAGTTTTTTGTATTTTTTGGTAGAGACGGGGTTTCACTGTGTTAGCCAGGATAGTCTCGATCTCCTGACCTCGTGATCCACCCGTCTCGGCCTCCCAAAGTGCTGGGATTACAGGCTTGAGCCACCGCGCCCGGCAGGCCCTACCTTCTAACCCAGTAACTCCACCCAGTGGAAAGTGGCTTATGGTCCTTTTACACAATAGGAGACACTTGCGCGTGGGGCACCAATAACTCATGTGAGTCAGACAGACTCTCTTCCTGTTGGGTTTAAGAATACTGCCTTAGGGTGGTCTGAAGGTAATGAGTTAATTCAATTGATTGTTCATAGTCAATTACAAACCAATCAAACTCTTTCGTTCTACTCTTTCCCTCTTTCTCACTACTGCACTTGACTAGTCTAAAAAAACAGAGGAATGTTGTATTAGTCAAAGCTCTTATGGGGCAAATAACAGGCTCCCTTCAAAAAAGCTTAAGTGAAAGAATACCTGGCTATCTCAGAAGTGCCAAAAAAAACTAACTCTGGGTCTCAGGAAAGGTAGAAACAAGGGAATGGTAAGGCTGTCAGGAACCACTGTCCCCTTACTTTCTAGAGCCATATGGGCTTTCCCTTCTTTCTTTTTCACCTCCCTGAAGAGGGATTCTCTCTGCTCCATGCTCCTGGCTACCCCAGAATATTCAAATCCATGTCATTGGTTCAAATGACCAGTTAACAACTTTTTTTTTCTTTTTTTGAGACAGAATCTCATTCTGTTGCCCAGGCTGGAGTACAGTGGCTCAAACTTGGCTCACTGCAACCTCCACCTCCTGGGTTCAAATTATTCTCCTCCCTCTCCTGAGTAGCTGGGACTAGAGGTGCCCGCCATCACACCTGGCTAATGTTTGTATTTTAGTAGAGACAGGATTTTGCCATGTTGGCCAGGCTGGTCTCGAACTCCTGACCTCAGGTGATCTGCCCGTCTCGGCCTCCCAAAGTGCTGAGATTATAGACGTGAGCCACCACGCCTGGCCTGATGACTTTAAATTACACTTTCAAACTCCCAGGAGATTCTGGACCACTCAGCTGTGTTCACAGGGGCAAGGTGTCTCTCATATATCTATAGATATATTCATTATATAATTTTTCCCTCGGTCTTATCAGGTGAAGTTAAAAGGTGTCATATATTGTAGACATGACTGCTGACCTTCTGGTTGGGATCGAGGGGAGAAGGCGGGGAAATGGGCTAAGTCTGGGACAGATGCTATAAAAAATAACTGAAAAATGTAGTGACAAGTTAATGAACTGTCATTGAAATTTCAGTGCCGTGTTCACGTGGACCAACTTGCTTGTGGTGGTTGTGGAACTGTGCGGCTCTGAACAGGAAGCCCTAGATCTGGTCCCGTTAGTGACCAACGTGGTCCTGGAAGAGCATTACCTCATCGTTGGCGTCGTGGTTGTGGTGGACCCAGGCGTCATCCCGATCAACTCCAGAGGAGAGAAGCAGAGGATGCACCTCCGTGATAGCTTCCTAGCTGACCAGTTAGACCCCATCTACGTGGCTTATAACATGTAACCAGCTTTGTGGGGACTGCAGGGGGCCATTCTGAAGAATCACAAAGACAGAAGACCTCTGGCTAGGAGCAGGCTTTCAAACGATGTGAAATAAGCTGAGATGGCTACATGATATTCTTCATCTCATCCTGTGGGATTCTGCAATCATAAAACACACAGGAAAGGGGAATTCTGTGCGGGCAAATGAAAAAAATGTTAACATTTGGTAGACATGTGCTTTGATATAGCGTGAGCAGCACGTTACTAAAGCAATTACATGCATGTTGCATTTTTTTCATCTGTTGTACATACTTGTATTTTTATCTAATGCCGTTTTAGAATTTTCTAAGAGAATTTAATGAATTCACATGAAAGGGGTAGTCTGAGTGACACAGTTCCCCACTCCGTACTGTATTTGCCATTCTGCCGTAGCTAGATGTTCTGTGGGGTTTGTTAACATGGAACTACTCAGCTTTCTTTCAGTCAACCCATAAGCAAATCAGATAACCCACTGACTATGAGAATTACTTTATATAGATAATTATTGACTGTAAAACATTTTGACTAGTGTCTTACAACATGTACATAAGAATACACATAATTCAGGTAGAGATTTGAAGAATTGGCTTGTATAGTTATAACAACCACAGTAGAAACATTTCTACATTGAGAGAATTTCAATATTCTCTTAATGTTGTGTAATTGATTAGGTGACTAAAAAGTGCAAATTGTTGGCAGGTTTTGCTGCACATTGTTCTATGTCTTTGTTGGCTGGTATATTTTATAAACTAGAGCTGCCTATGTTTGTTTTTAAAGCTCACATTCCCGGAATCAGCTTAGGCTTCTATGAATTCAGCTTGTTTCTAAAAGCTGAAAATCTCAGTTTAAAAATCAAAATGTTAACACAAAGCTAAGATTCATCAGAGCCCACCCTATTCTAAGGAACCACGATAACTTACTCTGGCCCCAGTTTTAAAACGATCTTTCAGATTTAGAGTGACTATGTAAGAATTTAGGATTTCCTCTTTTCCAGGCCCATTGTAAACTGTGTCTACAGTTTATCCATATAACTTCTCTTTTCTGAAAACTGAGGAGTGTCCTCTGTTCTTCCAGTTCATGAGGGCAGGGGGTTTAAAACAAGAATGATAGGCCAGGAAGGCAGTGGGGATCCACCGTCACATGGAACTGTAAGGCCATATAACTACACAAAACTGACCAATCTGGGTTGCCAAAGCAGCCAGGCTTATGCTGAAACCGGGGAAGTCTGACGTATGCAGGAAATTCTTTTGAAATAACTGTGGTGCCCAGGCCAAGCAGAATGAGACAGGACTGAGTTTGGCCTCTGACTCGGTTTCCTTTCTTTGGTCTGATACTTCATGTATTTGAATATAGTTAAATCTTATTATTTTTTTCTTAACAGAAATATTTTTAAAAATGAAAAAGTACTCAAAAGTGAAAAGAGTTAACTTGTTAAAGCAGAATGGTTCTCTTTGACCCACTCTGGTCTATTGTGTAAATATTTAGACTATTTTAGTAATACATATTATTTACCCCACTGTAACATCATGTAAACTAAGTATGTTTTTAAACAATTTTTAAGACTTGTAATTACCCTGAAAATAAGGTTTATAATGCAAAGACCAGCTCCTTTGCGGTGGCAGTGCTCTGGGGCTGCCATTACCCGGCCTTCTGACTAAAAGCCACTTTGTGACTCCCTTCACGTAATCCTCTTTTCCTCCCCACTCCTCCACAGAGGGCAGAGCTCAGGACATTTGCCAGTTCCAGATCTCTTTTTCAGCATTTCGATGGAATTAATTTACACGTGATGAGGGAAGTCCTAGGATGGACAGAAAAAAAAGCACTTACATTGGGGCACCCAGGAAATCCCAGTGTCTAGCGATGGTTTGGTTTGCAGAGAACACAGCCTGATACTTGGAAAGTAATTTTCTTAAAACCATTTTTAATGATTCACTAAACAAAGCAGGGGATCCTGAAGCTAATATAAATAAGTCTAGCTCTATAATCCCCAAGTTCTAAAAGTTATGGTTAGATGCTATTCTGTGGGTTGCTTTGATAATTCTTACTAACACAGATTAGGGTATAGGCATCTAGAGATGCGTGGTCCACTGTAAATACTATAATGAGAGCCACATCTGTAATTAAATTTTTCTAGTAACCACATTTTTTAAAAATAAAAAGAAACCCATGGTATTGATTTAAATATATTTTATTCAACCCAATAGCTCGAAAACACTATCATTTCAACATAGGATCAATATAAAAATTATTAATGAGGTATTTTACTTTTTTTCATATTAGGCCTTTGAAATTCAGTGTGCATTAAACACATCTCAGTCCAAACCATCGCCATATTTCAAGTCTTTGTAGCCAAATGTGACTAGTGGCTATCATATTAGACAGTGCAGATGTATACTCATTCCTTCAAATACATTACTCCGTTAATCTCAAAGTGTGGCCAACTCCCAGTTACTTAGAGGCTGATTATCTAGTTTTGTAGCTCCTCAGGCCTCTAATTTATTTTTTGCTTTCTGCTTTATTGATTTTTTGCATGTCCCCCAAAGCCAGAATCTGCTCATGGAGGAAGGAAGGCTAAGAACTGTCCTTGAGGAACTTCATCAGTAACTCTGGGAAAGCATCCTGTGGAGGGAGAGGAGAGCCCAGTCATTTGCTTAGATGGTGTTTGTGGGATCACCTGCAGATTTAAAGTCTACTGTGCCACAGACTCGAGTAAGAAAATGTTCTCTTGATGACACAGTGCTCCTTCTCTATCCACATTAAGTAGCACTTTTGTGGTGGAACTGATTCTTAAGGCAGGCCTGAAAGGCCATTACTAATAGAAACACAGCCTTTCCAATCCTCTGGAACATATTCTGTCTGGGTTTTTAATGTCTGTGGAAAAAAACTAAACAAGCCCCTGTCTCAGTTAAGAGAAATCTCTTGGTCTGAAGGTTTCTGAACCTCTTTCTAGTTCTCAGCAGAAGTAACTGAAGTAGATCAGGAAGGGGCTGCCTCAGGAAAATTCCTAGGCCCTAGGAATTCACTGAGACCCTGGGAAGGACCAGCATGCTAATCAGCATCAGTGAATCCACAGTCTTTACTTCCTGCCTCACAAAGGGCCAGGTCTCCCCAGTGCCAGGTCCTTTCCTCATGAAGTTGTGTTGCCTCAGGCTGTTTAGGGACCATTGCCTGTCTTGGTCACTTGAGTCTGTCTCCTTACTTTAGTCCCTGGGCAATGCTTGCTTAATGCTTTTGTTGACTCAACAAGGGCCGAGGCCTTAGGTTTTCTATTAAGGTCTCTGCCCCAGGCATGGTGCTCTATATCTTGGCCAAATAAATTACTTTCCTTGAATATCCAGGAATCTTTTAGACTAAAGCAATGAGGAGTTATCACCTCATCCTCAAACTCCAACAAGATCTATGCCTTAGTGTTGTTTTTGTTGTCTGCTTTGATGTAAAAGCAACAGTATTTGGAGCAAGAAGCTGCAGTACTCCAAATACACAATAGGCCTTTTCTTTATCATTCATACAGCATTTCTGGTTTAGGTGTATGTAGATGGGCCATGTTATTTGTCCAGAGGAAGAGACTGTAAAGATACAAGAATAATTTTTTAGTCCTAAATGCTGTTTTGTTTACTTTCTGTCAAGATATTTACCCGTGTCAAATTCAAACTACAGTACTGTGTAATTATGTATAAAGTTTTTTTATTTATTTGAAGTTAGACTAGATATACATTTTTAAATTTAACATCTGGCTGGACAGTGTTCTATTAACTCATTGAATGTGTTTCCTTTGTCTTGTGTTAATAAATATTGATGCCTGATTCTGTTTAATCCTTCACACATTGGGTGGAGGCTAGGGAATTGATAGATTTTAAATTTAACTTTAGATGGTGAGACCCATTGATAGCTGGGGTGGTCTAAGGAAAGTGAGCACAGAGATCCAGAGTCAGCGCTATTAAAGGATGCTAGGTCAGGGAATCAGGGTGTCACTTTGAAAACTAAGAAGTCTGTTGTCAGGACTTTTCAAGGTAATATAGTTTAGTCTTCCTCCCACCCTTGTTGCATTTGGTAGTTGTGTTTTATTTTTTAATTTTTTGAGACAGAGTCTCGCTCTGTCACCCAGGCTAAAGTGCAGTGGCTTGATCTCAGCTCACTGCAGCCTCTGCCTCCTGGGTTCAAGTGATTCTCCCAAAGTAATCCCCAGTAGCTGAGATTACAGGCATGTGCCAACATGCCTAGTTAATTTTTGTATTTTTAGTAGAGACAGGGTTTCATCATGTTGGCCAGGCTAGTCTTAAACTCCTGAACTCAAGTGATCTGCCCTTCTCAGCCTCCCAAAGTGTTGGGATTACAGGCGTGACCCACCACGCCTGGCCTAAACTTGAATTGTTTCTAATCTATAATTAGGCTGGATTTTAGCTTTCCTAAAATGATATTTCATTTGCTCTTCTAATTCCTGGTTTCAAGAAACTTGGTGGGAGCCCATCAAATTGTGCATGTATTCAAACACCGAGAATGGTCCTTGAATTATTTCATTGCTCCAGACTACTCTGGCAGCTGAGAGCATTTTTTCATGTCATAGACATCTATGCCTACCCACTAAGCACTGTGATAAGAGCTGAAGCCAGAGAGAAAAAAAATACCAAGTCACTGCCCTCAAGGAGATATAGGATAACAATCACAATACAAGGGTTAAGAACAGACATGCATTGTGAGAGCAGGCAGGCGAGGCACATAGTCTGATGGTAAGGGAGGATAGTGAGGAGTAGGATGCCTCTGACCTGGATTTCAGAGGATGAGACAGCCAGATAAGATAGTGAGCAGAAAGGCAGAGTCACATATTCTGGGAACTAGAATTCATTATTGGGATTGTTGTGGTTTGAATGTATGTGTCTGCTCAAAATTCATATGTTAGAACTTAAGGCCGGGCGTGGTAGCTCACGCCTATAATCCCAGCACTTTGGGAGGCCGAGGTAGGTGGATCACAAGGTCAGGAGATCGAGACCATCCTGGCTAACACAGTGAAACTCCGTCTCTACTGAAAATACAAAAAAATTATCCAGGCATGGTGGCGGGCACCTGTAGTCCCAGCTACTCGGGAGGCTGAGGCGGGAGAATAGCATGAACCCAGCAGGCGGAGCTTGCAGTGAGCCGTGATCACGCCACTGTGCTCCAGCCTGGGCAACAGAGCGAGACTCAGCCTCAAAAAAAAAAAAGAACTTAAGACCCAATGTGATAGTATTAAGAGGTGGGGCCTTTTGGGAAGTGATTAAGTTACGAGAGCTGTGCCCTGGTGAATGGATTACTGCCCTTTTAAAAGTACTAGAGAGAACTGGTTAGGCCCTTTTGCCTTTCTGTCCCTCCCCCCATGTGAGGACATGGTGTTGGTCCACTCCAGAAGCAGCAGTATTTAAGGTACCATTTTGGAAGTAGAGACCAGGCCCTCACCAGACAGTGAAACTGTCAGCACCTTAATCTTGGACTTCTCAGCCTCCATAACCATGAGCAGTAAATTTAAGCTGTTTATAAATTATCCAGGCTTAGGTATTTTGTTATAGCAGCACAAAAGGACTAAGATAAGGATGCAAGGTTTGAGGGGAGAAAAGTAAAAGATAATTATGGAGGCTTGAGCCAGGGACAGATGACTGAGGGTCTTGTATTTCATGCTAAGAATTTTGGACTTTTAACAAAGGGGAGTTAATGAGGGATTTAAAGCAGGGGGATAACATGCTCAGATTTGCAACGTAGAATATTATTCTGACAGTCACATAGAAAATAGACTGGGGCTGGGCGTGGTGGCTCACGCCTGTGATCCCAGTATTTTGGGAAGCCAAGGCGGAAGATCTCTTGAGCCCAGGAGTTCAGGGCTACAATGAGTTATAATTGCACCACTGCACTCCAGCCTGGGTGACAGAGCAAGACCCTGTCTCTAAGAAAAAAAAAATAGATAGGAATGGATAGGGAAAGGGAAATAAAACCAGAGATTGTAATGGATAGCGAAAAGGAGATAAAACTGGAAAGACTAGTTGGGAGACCTCTGCATTGACCACAGTGATAGAATGCTATGATTTGAATGTGTTCCCTCCAGATTCTTCTGTTGAAACTTAATGGCCAAGGTGATGGTTTTAAGAGGTCATTAGGTCATGATGGCTTCTCCCTCACAAATGGAGTTACAGCTCTTATGAAAGGCTTCATGCAGCAGCACTTGACTCGCTTGCCTTCTGCCCTTCACCAACACAGCACTGTCTTGGAAAGAGAGCAGCCCTCACCATACAAGCCAACCTGCCAGTGCCTTGATGTTGAACTTCCTGGCCTCCAGGAGTGTGAGAAATACATGTCTGTTCTTTATAAACTACCCAGGTTCAGGTATCTTGTTATAGCAGCACAAAACAGACTAAGACATAGAGCAAAGTACTTCAACCAAGGCAGTAAGAATGGAGAAGAGAGGCCATGCATAAAACAACAACGGAGGAGGAGAAAATGGAGAGAGATGGGTGGGGCCCTATGGCATTACAGGTGGTGGAGCCACCCGTCGCCAGCCGGCAATTGGAATCATTATGCCACCGAAGGTT